TTTAGATATTCAGTCCGCATTCAGTGATTAATGATTCAGTAATTAACGATACTAAAAACGTTAGTAAATTTGGGACCACCCAAACGAATTTTTTTTAAAATGGACCCACTAAAGTTCCCAATATGGAGCATCGTTACGTATAAATGACTCAAATAAGAAAAAGAGAAAATAACAAAGGACCATGGACAAAGAAAAAAATTCATGAATTATCGACATTGATTCCACAACCTCCGCTTTGAGAAGAACCTAATGCAGCCTATGATCGAATTAAATATTTCTTGAATTTAACAATTTAATTTTAAATAACTTTAGAGTTCAGTCTCATGTTTTCTATCCAGAGTGAGTGAGTCGAGTGCGAGAATTGATTTCTTGATTTCTTAATTCTTAATTTAATGATTGACACGTTACAGAACTATTCTATAAATAAAGAGAGAGAGAGAGAAAAAAAAAAAGAACTCGAATTTATGATTTTGCATGTACCTAGTATAATTCGATATATGTAACGTATTTTGAAATCCATGTTCGAGTGAAAATTGGAAATCCAAATCTCTGATCATTTGAATGCTAATCGTTATTGGTCCCGCTGATAAGAAGATTATATATCACACTTTTATAATGATCCGAACCACAAGACTACCAAAAGAAAAAGAAAAAAAAAAGTTCAAAAGAAAAAACCATAAATCCGAATAAAATGAAAATGCATGGATTCACAGTTTTTTCATCAAATGGAACAATTAAGAAACCAAAACCCATTAAACGACGACGCATTTTACATAGGTGCGTGTGTCATCAGGATCGAATCGACACATTGTCTCGATATCACATTACATGACTAGAGGTAGTGTCAAAGGAAGAAGAAGAAGAAGAGAGAAGAGGAGGATAATAGATGGCTAAGTAAATAAGCATTAGCATCAGCACCACCGGAATTCCCATCACGATCATCGGCGGCGGAGGTAACGGTGGCAGAACGGCCGGAAGCACCGCTAAAAGCACCATCACCACTCCGATCACAAACATCCCGATCGATGATCTTTTTTTAATACTTTTGTAAATCTTCTTTTCTTCCTCCAAATTTTGGCTTTCGATGTTCCTGCACATATATACCTGTGTGTATATATATTATGTCTTATAGGTTTTTTTTTTAATAAATATTTGTAGTTTCGTTTTGCTTTTTATGTGTGTGAGAGAGAAAGACGTTACGGCTTACAGGTGAAGCTCATGCACTGAGGAGCAACATTTGCCAATTCAGTATTCGCCCAATAACAAAACCACCCTTTTCCTTTTTTATTTATTTTTATTTTATTTATAAAAAGGTCCAACTAACTAGATTTTAATATGCAAATTTAAAAATAAACACTCTCTAAATGTTAGGGAAAAAAAGTCTATTTAATTTCTCCATATAAATAGAAATATCATTTTTAGGAAAAAACTATATAAGTAATTATCAATCATTATTATCTTGGTAATAAATTTTTTTAGTAGAATTGGAAATTTTTAATAAAAAATGGAAAATGATTTTAAACAATTTATTTTCAATAAAATGTATTTCATGTATGGTCTTTATTTTGTGTTAGTTTATGGTAATTTACAGTTAATACGTATATATATATATATATTAAAAAAAAATACAGTTTATAACTTTGTATGTCGACGATTAACAAAGACTGTAATACTAAATCATAAGAAAACATATATTTTCATAATGTTCAAAATTCTCTCACTCTCTGTCTATATATATATATATATATATATACTTTTAAATAAATAACTAGAATATAGACTGACGCTTGACATGGGTACGGTTAGCTAGGTAATAGCGTGGCGGCTTTAATTAATTTCCGTTTATGTGCTTTTAGATGGCTGAAACCGTAAGAAGGGGTTGGTGAATTAAGAGGGGAGAAGTGTGCTTGATACTCTGAATCTGCATCAAGTCGTACTAAGTGTCTTTATTTCCTCTTATTCCATATTCACTTAACCCAATTTATTGCTATTATTCGTTTTCAGTTTTTCTTACCGGCTAATTCATTAAAATATTACTTTATTTTATGTTCTACACGCATATCAAATTTTCAAAATTGATTTTTTTCTATTAAGAAAAATAATCTCTTTCTCTAAAAAAATTTCTTACATACAATAATTACTTTAATTTTTTGTATCTTTAAATATTTATTATCTTTTCTGTTTTTTTTTTTTTTTTAAATGTCGTTCTAGAGTTCTTGGAAAGGACCTTGGATCATATGGGAGGAGACAACTGCCAATATAATCCAAGAGAGTACCCATGCATAAATATTCGTGTTTTATGTGTAATTAGTCAAATCTATCTGAGCTAGACGAATCCATCGGCGTAAGAATTATCGATGGGAGTAGATAGAAGCTAGTGATGGAGTATGTGATGGATGGCCAATTGGTGTTAAATGTTATAAGATATAACAAAATACGATTGGACTGGTGAACCTGTTTAAAACAAAACGTTGATACAGAGAGGGTCATTGGCTGAACAATTCATCAATTTGGCCTGTGATATGAGTTTCGGAGCTTAATATAAAAATCACAAACTTTTATTCTATTAACGAGGTTATTCTAAATTGAAATCTCGAGTTATCTCTGAAACCTATAAATATCCGTTTGTCAAATTATTTTAAACGTTACGGATGATCAAGTAGCAAAATGTTATAATTATATACTATTTGATTTCTGACCTCTTAGACCAGCAAAACAATTCTTTTTTCTTTTTTTCAGTTTTAATTACGAAAAAAACAAAAAACATATTTAATAACAAATAACGGTTGTATAGATTTTTTTTTTTGAACAGCTTAAGTACTTAAAACGGTTCAATTGGTTGCATAGATTTTATAGTTTTGCATTTGTTTTATTATGTCGTTTTTTACTGTCAACAATAACATATTTGTATGAGTATCGATCAGCTAGCTTGTCTTGTACATTGGTTTTCTATCGTTTGTCACATAGGTTCATCCTTTTATTACCAACCCATGACTATTTTTCTTTGGTGTGAAAAATGTTTTTTTCTGTAGATGATTTTATATATATGTTTGTTTAGTAATACATAATTCAATTTTTTTATAACATTATATGCACATTTCCGAACCCATAATAAATAAGAGTTTAAGACACTTGACTCTCTTTGAACATTTGAGTTTGTCGTCAAAACGAGCACATTCGGTATCTAGGGATTATATGATGAATCACGTAATCATCACTAAACGTCGTTTCACAGTTTATCAGAACTCTTTTCCCTTTTCACAAATGAATCCCTATGGTTACGACTTAGTCATCAAATCCCTTAACTTCGATACAAAAAGAAAAGAAAGAGACCAGACATTTCAAGACGTATGCGTTCAGTCTCATTTGTATGCATTATGTATATGTGCAGTGGATCTGGTTTCTGTGGACAAGTTAAATTCCTTCTCATATATGCTTTTTGTTTTGTCGAAAGATAGAGACTCGATAAAGTGAAGACATCTTTAATCATTTTAATTATTTAATATTTTTTTGTCTTTTTCTCCCTTGATTTGGTCAAATCTCCTTTTGTTTTGTACATTGTCTCAAATCTCACCCACACTATTTCCCCGGATAAAGTATCACATTTATCATATAATCATTCAGTAGTTCGCATTTTGTTGAAAACACACACACACACACTAGTATACCGTATAATTGATTATATCAGTGTGACTATATTAGTTTTCAAATTTAGATATATGTTCAAATAAGAAACGAGATGTTTTCTTGAATCTGAAATAGAACTTGTTGGAAGATAATGAGAGAGATCAATGGAACCGATTAATTAAAGTGATGGACATGAATTGAGGAAGTTAACATTCCCATCGAAATACCACAAAAACATTGTAAGATCTTTCAAAGGAAACCACCTTCTTCTTCTTCATTTTTTATCTAAACGATTAATTAGGTTATTTATTTACTTAGTGTATAATATGTTTTCTATATAAATGTAGCCTTGGTTTGGAAGGGTTAACACAGCAAGAATCAAATGTAGTCCTTCAATTTACCAGAACCAACAAAAAACTTCGCGATAAAATTTGAAATTGTTTTCATTTGAACCCACCTGTTGGAAAATTGGAACGTAGTGTGCGAATAAGGTAAACTAACCAAAAAAATTTATGGTTCTTTTTTAGTTTTTTTTTTTTTTTTGACATGGTTCTTTTTTAGTTTTAATAAGTTATTTAGTTATTCAACCTCATTCCCTAATTTTCAAAGCTAAAGATATAAAACCTTAAAACAAAAACCTAAAAAAAGATCATAATATTCGAGCTCACTTTTGACCATATTAAAAGAATCTAAGTGTGTGTCGAGGACTAGTGAACAGATGGCACATCCATTTTAGTCTGTCTCCCGGACATTAAAGGTCGATTCCCAGTTTTCCAATGTTTGATTAACATATGTGGGTTCCACAAGTATATGTATATCGATGATTAAGGTATTAATAATAATAAAAAAAAAAGAAAAAAAAAAACCTTCCATAGATGAATGTCTTTGATACAAAATACTCCATGGATGAATGCAGTGATCACTTAGTAACTAAAACTTTAACCGGTACTATCATAATATATTGGTCTACCATTTAGGCATTTAACCATGAAACCAAAAAAAAAAATTAAATTATAGCATTTAACCCTCTGTTCTTTTAATTATTATGAAGAAGTTTATTCTGACGACCATGGCTTGACCGATTTTGGTTTAGGATTTTTCTTTTTCTTTTTCTTTTGGTTTTTAGTGAGTTTATAATGAATGTATATCGGGATATTGTAAAACTTTGAAGATAGAAAAATTTGAACCCGGACTGAAATTTAACTACCACCGCATTACATAAATCACCTGGTGATTTTTATATGTCAGCAATTTGCCGAGAAAGTGTTCTGATAACAAAGGTGGAAATGGACGTTGAGTAAAGAAAAAGAAGGAAATAGCGATTAAATATACATATACATGCACATACTGTACATAGATAACAGGAAGGCTTCTATTTAATTTCAAAAATATTCTTCTACAATTCAAAGTGAGGCGCTGATAAACAAGATTCTTTTACAAAATAAGAATGAACCTACAAACGAAATCAACATTAATTAAAAAAAAAAAAAGGAACAAAAAAATCAGAGAAATGTAATTGAAAGCTAGTTTTGGAAGGAAAACTCAGAGATCTATCACATGAGATGATCGTACTTGCACGAAACTAAAAGCTGCTTACATACGCATCTATAGACACACCTATACATATATGTAATGTACGGACGGTGCGCAAGTCGGCGATATCAGGGGTCGAGAGAATCTACGGTGAGGTTAGGCTCATTAGAAGGAGAAAAAGCCAAGAAAATGAGGAGAATCATGAGGAGGAGAGGGAGGAGGAGGAGCGTCGCCGGAGGCGGTGGAAGCGGCGGAAGGAACGGTGGAAGAATCAGAAGACACAGAGAGAGAAAGAGAAGAACTGCGACGGATCTTGCCGTGATCAATGAACTTCCGGTCAAACCCATTGGCTTGGGTGTGACATCAAATCTCAGCCGTTGATCATGTACCCTCATTTTCCATTTAGTATTTAGTTTATCAAACAATTTTTTTATATAAATGTCTTATTAGATCCTTCTGCCTTTGTCTGTGGCTCTAATTATATAGTGGGCAATTGGGAAAGTTGGAATAGCTATCTCCATATATGTATGTATACGTGTATGTCTATCCTGTATATCTTTGACACCCATTTTTTTCCCCTAATTACTATCTCCACATTATTTACCAAATTATGTTGTTTTTTATGAACTTTAAATTGAATGGTTTAGTACTTTGGTATGATTTGTTGGCACAATTTGGGGTAATATTTTCTAGTATTTGACGTGTGGTAGTAATATCCTTCTTTTTAACCTTTGTCAATGAATGTACCCGAGTAATAGCCAATTTTACAGTAAATAAAGAGTTAGTAAATTGACCCTGTCCAAGTTTTTTTAAAAAGGCCGTTTCCGATGACCAAAGTTACAATAAATTATTAATATAACCCACCCGAAAAAGGTTAGTTAGACTAATTAATTAGGAAGTTTGTGATATTGCATTAGAGGGATTATAAATGCATGTCAAGTAATGTGCGAAAAAAGGTAATTCCAAAGTGCCGGTTTCAGGTCACAGCTGTAATATGTCCTGATTCAAGTAACCAACTAACCAACTAATTTCACACTCCTGTCTTTTTTTCGTGTTTGTTGTTTCAGCCATAATTGTTACTCTTTATGTTTCTAATAGGAGTTGTTTAAATTCTTTACCGTTCATTTTGTTATCAAAAATGATTTTTTAGCAAAATTATTAAATATGTTCAATGGAAAATTATTAACAAAAGTCCAATTGTAGCCTTAGAAATACAAATTATTAATTAAAAGAGAATCAGTTTGTGGGTATAAATAATTGGTATGCTAAATATTTTACAATAGTTTCAGTTTTTTTTGTTTGTTAAAGAAATATAGTTTCGGTTGTAAGTTAACTTATCAGGTGGGCTAAAAAAATCGTAGAAAAACCTTCTTGTAAGACGACAGGTCAACTTTGTTTGTTTGTTTGTTTTTTTTTTCTTTTTTTTTGTCGACACTCAACTTTGTTTATTTCAAATTTATCTAGCTTCATCATTATTATTTGTCTTGAAACCTCTAGAAGAATAAAAGAACGTTAAAAAAGAAACAAAAAAAGAATAAAAGGACAACAAATATTTTACTGCAAGCAACGAGAAAAGGTAGATGCATGAACATCCCAAGCTTTAGATAGATATTATAGGTAAGTTGACGGTGACCGGAGGCTGAATGTACTTCTCTGTACATTGTTTTTGTTGTTCCCAAGGAAGTCCTTTCTTCTTTGTCTAAACTCTCCTTCTTGAGAAAATCACAAACGGGAGTATATACGTATATTTAATAAAATAATATACAATTAAATACTTCTATTTTAGTACATTGATCCTCATTTTCATCAACCACAATAACTGAACTTTGTGGTATATAAATGAACAGACTAAATAAACGGAACAAACCCAAATTATTTTTAATTTATAAAACGTTATTATTGATAACTCATTTGGTTCCATTTTCATTTGTTTTGTTTGACATTGTGGAGTTAGTCAAAACACATTTTTTATATGTAATTATTATGCATGTCAAATCTGTACATGTACAGTCTATCACATACCTAATAACATCATATATATATATATATATATATATATACTACATATATACTTTCAAAACAAAAATGTATAACTTGTTTAGTTAGTGGTTTCAACTTTGAAGTCTTATATGTCATTCTTAGTTCAACTGGATACGAATTACATCATAGGAAGTAAAAAGTGGGACATATGACCACCATTTAGACTAAAAGAAAAAGAAAGAGCATAAACACAACACATTTTGTTTTTGTGAGTACGAAATTTTGCATCTGAACCTTACAAAAAACGTCATTAAAAAAACTCAATGATGTGTTTTTTCCCTCCAACAATGTTGCCTCTGAAGACAGTAAATGTATTCACCAAAACTCATATTCAATAAAAAATGAAATTGGTTACAAAAAATAGAACATTTCGAATTTAAAGCAAGTTGGATCGTGCCTGTAAAAATATTGAAATAATACCATTCCTCATACATTTAGAATTTAGAGAATGCATTGCACCTAACGGCGCTATTTTATATGCTTTCCCGTGGATTTGGCATTTCTTTGGTATTGTTATTTGGCCATTTGGTTATTTTCAACTCTTTCTATTTGAAGTAGTTTCATTATTTATTCGATCATCTCGTTCCCAACTTGGTAGGCTTTACAGCTTCGTTATGCAGTCGACACACACAAAAAAAGGTTATTCCTAACCCTGTTGCAATTTTTTTTTGTTACAAAACAGAAAAAAAACAAATAAAAAATGAATCAGTGGTAAGATACATTGTGTGTTAAAGAAAGATTTTAATACTACACACTGGTTACAATACTATGTGCGTAATAGATTCGATCATCTTAGATTTTTAAGACAGTACAAATAATTCACAAAAATTGAATATAAAAATTAAAAGATTTAAACAAATTTTCCGTCGGGCAAGTGACATAAAAGTCATTTGTAACCATGTCTCGTATAAAACAAAAAAAAATAGATAGATGTTTCTCGTATATAATTTGTAGTATAACCTGTGCCTGTCGTCTCAACTTAATAATTTGTCAAACAAACTGGGCCGAAGTTATTTCCAATTAAGGGCCAAAATTTGATGATTCATCTGATCATTTCTGAACTACTATAACTTACTATTGCTGGTAAGAGTATAATTATCTTCTAACACTGTATAGTATTGTCGATACATTGTTTGGATTCTCACATAAATAGGAAACTTGAACAGAAAAATTATAAAGTCACAAACTTATTTAAGATAACATTTTTTGTTAAACTTATAGTTTCCGTGGTCGAAATCTTATTTAATATCCATGGATTACTTATTATAACATGTAATTCAATGATTATTATAACTCATCAATCGTTAGGACAGACTTATAATAAGTGTAAGTGGAGCATTTTCTTAAAAAGTTTCAAATTTATTAGTCAACAAAAGAATGTGAACATCTACAAAAGAATATAGTGGATAAGAGCAAAAAACGTAAGAATGAAGAGCATAGCTATTTGCGTAAAACAGAGATTAAAGAATCAGATCCGACGAACTTCAAACCATCGTCTGTTTATTATTTTTTATTTTATTTTTTTTGACATCCCTCAAACCAAGGTCTACGTGGAGCATTTATTTGCAAATTATATCATTCATAGCTTCAATAAGTAGGACGACTCACATATAATTACTGTTACAAGTTACAGCTAATATATACTAATGCCACCTAAAATAAGACACTGTCTGATTATTTTCATATTTAGATCCCTTTCTTTGGTTTGGAGTTAGCTACGGATTGCACAAAACACATCTAAGTCTTTAACTCTAAAACAAACCTTTATTTTGACAAAATAACATGTTATACAAAAAAAAACCTTCTAAATTAGGCAGAAGGTTCGTACTATCTCTCAAGAGTCTCGAGTTTTAAAGAGAGTAACAGAACAAATTGTACATCATTTTTTATTGGATCATCATGTAAACGACTTTCCAAAGTTCTCGTACAAGTACGACAACCTATCACTTAACTCTTCGGAATTCAAATTGCAATTATCCATTTGAAGATGCAAAGTGTAAAAGAGTCTTTCTCCTTGAGACCTTGAAGATGAAGCATCCAAGAGAACCAATCCATCTTCTTCTACACCATTCAACACATTCCCAAACGAACACTTCTCAGTCTGTAACGATGAAATTTGGACCATTACTTCGGTCTCACCGAGCTTAGTCGCAGAAACTGTTGATGCATAACTCGTGACCCCTTTCTTTGGCTCACCATTTTGGTCGGTGTAAACGAGATCTCTCTGACCTGATATTTGAAACGAGAGCTCTTCTTTCTTCTTTACCAGCTTTTTAACTTGCTCTTGCAGCTCTGGTATGTACTTCAATGCCTGTGAAACTGTTGCTGAAACGCTTAGCTTCTTCTGCAAGAAACACACACGATAAAGAACATTACTATGGAACGTTTTTTTTCTTTCAAATTCTTATAAAAGTCAACAAATAAACATATTCGAATTAAATGTTACCGATTGATCGGTGGCCGGAAGACAATCACGAAGAGAAGAGAACATTGCGTTGATCTTCTTGCGACGATCACGCTCGCTCGCGTTGTGATTAAGCTTCTTCATAGCGACGGGATTCTCTATCTCTAATATTGTATTTCTCTCCAGCGAAACATTCCGATGAGCCACTTGAAACTCCGGCAACGGAAAATCAAGAAACGTGTTGCTTACGTCGTCGTTTTCATATAAACCATGGTCTCCGCAAGGCCAGCCGAAATTTGGAAACAATGGAGGGACAAGTGCACACATTTTGGGTTTAGACACTTAAAAGACTCCTTTTCGGTTAGGATTATGCTGGTGAGTTAGTTGGATTATTTATGTCTCACTCATTTATATTTATATCATCTATGCACACGAATCCAAAAATAAAAAATAAAAAAATAACAAAATGATTCTCTGTTGTATATATAAATATAAAAGTATATATATGTGATATAAATTTTAAAATTAATACTATAGGGCGAAATGTGTGGGTCACGGGTGGACATGCATTGACACGTGGTTAAGCATTTTCTCCCCAAGCAGGAGTATGTTCCAAGGCTAACCGGTTGACCAACAAATACATGCATGTTTTTTTTTTAGGCCTAAATACAAATACATGCATGTTATACAACTCTTTGATATGAGACGATGAAATATAAGATTTCTTTGGAGATTTAATGCTATTTTTAGGTCATTATACAAATTTAAATTATGTAATGCGAAAGTACTTCCATTTCATTTTAAAAGATGTTAAAAACGTTTGCATATAGATTAAAAAAAAATTGTAAACAAAAAAATGATTTGTTACTTGTTTTGTTTTTATGAAGATAGATGTTTTAATTTTTTAAAAAAATTAGCAAAACTATTCTTAAATAATATTAATTCTATATAGATATTTTATCTACGAATTTATACTAGAGCTAGAGGAAATAATATTAATTTGATAATTCCTTCTTTTGTCGGTTAGAAATTTGTATAAGATCAGAGAAATTAACCCATTAGAGAATACATAAATAGTGTAAGTGTAATTAGATACATGAAGACGTATTCCTTATTGTTCCCTTGAACTGGTGAATCGAGAAAGGAATCAAGCGGCAGATCAATTGGCAAAGAAATCATTAGAATCTATCTCATTGTACTCAACATTCAATTTGCCACGGAGATGGCTAGTAAACTTATTGTATACACCGTTTACGGTTTAATAATATTATAGAACTTAAAAAAAAAATTGCAGCTGGAAGAAAAGAGTCAACTGTCTTTTAAACAAAATAAAGAACAAAGACAAACGCTGAGAGGTACACGAGGGATACACGGGTCTGGTTGACGTGGAATGTTGAGAGGCACGTACAAATCACGTGAAATATTAATGCTTTTCTCCTGATTAGAATCTATTTATGATGAGATTAAACAGTAAGCATGTACATAAGCATTTCGTGTTTATTATAATTAACTTATGTCGGTATGTAGATTCCCTATGTAACTAATTTCTTATAGTGTAATTGGCTTACTTTAAAAAAAAAAACATCTGTATCATTATTAATTGTATAAATGTCAACTCCGGTCATCTCGGTTGGGGCAAAAAATGCCTCGATTCTAGTCTTGGACGAGGAGAATTGACGACGGCAATATTTAAGCTTTTTGGTCGCTATTTTGAGGGCAATTCTAATGGGCTTATCTAAATATAATGGGTCCTAAGATTATTGTTTAACTGTGTAAGCTACGAAGAAAAGAGATTCAAAATAGCGCAACACGATGGACTGTATGCAGTATGCATCTCTAGGATATGCTAAGGAGTAAGGACTAATTGAAACATAATATTGAAACTTTAGAGTTTTGGTACTGGAGAGGAAGCTTATGTTAGTAACTTTTGGTATTGCTCACACATTACATTGTCGAGGTTCAAGTTTGTAAATTTTGCAAGCAAATATCAAAAACAGTATTAGACTTTCCGTTTGGATCGAAGAATGATCATGAAACTTTCTTGATCGTTTATTATACTTTTTTCTCTATTTTGTTTAACATAAGCGATAACATGTGTTTCATACACGCATTAAGCTACAAGAGAAATCCAATGTACAAAACTTCGTGTAGAAAATGAAATCCCGGACATGTCTGACCATTTCTCTCATTTGCTTTGATTCATATCTTCACTCCTTTCCTTTGAACAACCCGCAGAACAAAAAAAAAATATATTCAGTTTAAGTTATTAATAGTTCACAAGCTTTCCCGCTTCAACCTATAATACACACTCACTCTCAAAACGTTTCAAATCATATTTAAAAATCTTTCCTATGTCCATCTGCCTAACCAGGTCGAAACCTCCAAAGCATTCTTTACCTGGATGATTTTAACATCTAAAAGACTAAAACATAACATGTATATAAATTAAAACCCTAAGACGCAACAACTTAGAAAAGGGAATTTTAGAAACCGAAATGCTAATGAGAATAGGAAAATTAACTAATAATTCAAATCATATCCTTTTTAAAAAAAAAAGTGAATCGTATCAATATATAAGCGAAAAGGGGTAATGCTACTTCTGCTGAAACAGACACGCCATCAAATTAGTAGGCGTCATATCACTAATTATATTGCTAAATGAATGAATATACTCTTTAGTGTACATTTTTATTTTTAGTTTTGTTTATATAGAAAAACTAAAAATATTTATGTTCTTAAAGAAACAATAATATCCTGTTTCCTTCTCTTAATCTCCAAACTTCCATTGTTCTAGATCCACAAAACTCCAAATTTCCATTCTTCTTAGTCGTCTTGAATCTTGCTTACCAATGATCTTCAAAATTTCCGTTTTGAAAATAAAATAAACAAAGAACTCAGATTTTATTTTATTTATAGAGGTTGATGAGCAAGCCCGTATAGTTGTAATTTGTAAACTTTTAGTTACATTCTTTTCCACCATCTTCTCTTCTCTTCTCTTCATCATCTTCGAACTTTTTAGTTTTTTTTTTTCAATAGATGGTTCGTTTCTTTTCTTAACAAATTAACCTATTACAAAATATAAATATACGACTATACAAATTCAGAGATGTGGTTTTTTACTTGATAAATTTACTAAAAGTTTTAGTTTTATCTCATTGTTTGTAGTCGTCGAGAATTGTTTTTAAGTATCAAGGTTATAACGAAGAAGCCAGGCAGAAAGCACTTCGATGTTTGTCTCGTCGTAGAGGTACACTAACACATCCCAATCGTTTTACTGAACCAAATTAATTCATTTGTAGGGAGTATTTTATATTAGATGTAGATCATTTTATTTTGACTTTCACATTTTGAACAATGCGTAAGGATGTTTTTTTTTCTTTTGTTAGGATTTGAGTATGCAGATTTTAATTTGGATCTAGATGTACTAACGGTGACGGGACAAAACATGGATCGACGTAAAATCCTCAAGAAATTGAAGAAGATTTTTTACCTTGTCGATATCCTTCAGACGTTGTGTGTTCCCCCTTATTAGTGTGGTTTTTCATGCTTATTCTTATCATGATACTATATTATACGCTTATTCTAATGATACTTCTTCTGAAATAATAAATGGTCAATACTAAAGGTGTTTTCTTTTGTTATATTTTTCGTTTTGTGCATCTTCGAGCTATAACTGTTCCAATAAACGATCATGAAACCTTATTGATCTTTATTTTATATATATGAGATTATTTTCTGGTTTTTTACATACGCGGCAGGTCGGCAACATATATTACACACATTATACTACAAAAGATTAATCAAATGTACAAAACTGCTCACAAAAAAAAAAAAAGAGCTAAAACTGAAGCCGCCTCACAATGATGTCTGAACCATTTCTCCCATCCATTTCTCCCATCCATTTCTCCCATATGCTTTGCTTCAAACCTTCACTCCTATCCGATGAGCAACCTTCAGAGCAACAACAAAAAAAAACACATTCAATTTCGGTTACCAATGATTTTTATCTTGTGAGAGTTTTTGAGGAAATAAGAGAGATTCGTTTACCTGTTTAAATGAAGTAACTTCACTTCCCCAGAGCCAAGCGTCACAGCCTGCGTCTCTAGCGCCCCATACATCATTCCTACGGTCATCTCCTACATGAACCGCATCCTCTGGATTAACTCCTAACAATTCACAAGCTTTCAAGAAGATAGTTGGGTTTGGTTTCTCCGCTTCAACCTGCGGAACAATCAACCAAATACCATTTAATACACACTAGCTCCAAAAACGTTTCAGATCATCAACCAAAAGACGTAAAGGAAAAAAAGTAATGATCTTACTTCTGCTGAAACAGCCACAGCATCAAACCAGTCTTCACATCTCAGTGCTCGTAGGAGAGGTCTTAATCGAGTGTCGAAGTTGGACACAATGGCAACTTTTACACCCGCTTCTTTAATGGCCTTGAACACTTTCTCTGCCTCTGGATCACATAGCTTCCACGCCTGGCAAAGCAAAAGGAGATAAATATCAAGAGAAAGAAACAAACTTTAAGGTGTTTCCTCAAGCGTATGGAGAAATAGTAACGGAGATCGAACCTGTTCTGTAGTAAAATAGTTGTAAAGCTCTTCAAAGTAGTGAGAATCCGAACAGCCTGTCGATGCACTCACTATATATTGCCAGAAAGGTCTCGCGTCGTTTACATATCTGCAAAAAAAGGAGTAAAATTGAAACATTTTCACTCGCTAGAGATTCATCACTAGAGTCTTAATCATGATTCATGTCGCAGAACACTAATTTGACATCTAAACAGATTGAAAATATTGCATAAGTGGTGATTTTCTTGAAGTAGAAGAAACACGAAGAGGGAAGATGATGATACCTGAGATGAGATCCGCCCCATGGTTTCTGATAAGCTCTTCTGTATCTAGTAAGTATCTCAGCCTCCGAGTACTCAACTCCATACTTCTCTCCAATATCCCTGTATATCTACACAATTCAGAATCCCAAACAGAACTTAGAATTTTGCAGATTCAAATCTTCCTTCTAAGCTTCTAGATACAAGAAGATATCACACAATACATCATTGAATCATCTATCATTCCCAACATAAACACAATTAAAAAAAAACCATCGATCGCTTTCAATTGATCAAAGTTCAATCTGAGTTTTTTTCTGAGATTTTCCAATCACAGAGCAAGATAAAAGCATGCGAAACATGTGAAGCATTTGTGAAATCGTTGAATCAAAAGAACTAATAAGAGATTTTTGACAGACCTGTGCAGTGGGTTGGGCGGGAACAAGGAGAGTACCAACGGCGTCGACGAGCAAAGCCTTGTGCGTGAACTCGCCGTAGAGCGATCTCCTGTAATCTTCGTACTCCTTCAATACACTTCCCAATCCGTAAATCCCTCCAGATTCATCCTCCGCCACAACAGCGGAAGATGACGAAGCAGAGGAGATCCAGCGGCTGAGCAATGCCCCGGTTCTCGCGATCCGATCCGAGCCGTGATGAAACCCACCGGAATTGCAGACCCGAGAGTTTCCGGGAATGGAGAAGAGAAGTGTCGCTAACCTCTTGTTTCGTAACGCCATAGCTCTCTCTGTGATTGTTGTTTGTTCCGTTTCTCTTCGTCTTCTCGGGATTATAAATGCGATTAAAAGGAGACGAGAAAGATGCGTGTGCGGAGAGTCTTTAAATAATGACCCATAGAAAGGTTTCACATTTACGGTCATGCCCTTTTCTAAATTATCCGTTTCTAGTTTTTCTACCCTATCCGCTAAGGCCTAATCAGAGGAACTGATGATGTGGCATTTTATTAGTGTCAATTAAAAATATTTGTTACATTCATAAAGTTGAAACCATGTTAGGCATATAATTAGGAATATAATTTCTATTGTCTTTCCCACATCGTACGAGTCTTTTAATCCTGCTTAGGATATGAAACATTGGGATATTATTTTAGTTTCTGTTTTTTCATGCATGTTCTTGGCAAAAAAAGAACCTTTATCTCTTAAAAAATAAAGTAATTAGCTTTAACTTTTTTTCTTCAATAAAGTTTATTATCCTCTACACGATTATTTGTTTGGTTAAAAATTAGTTTCTTTTATTCCATGTAATATAGTAGTATTTCACATCGAGAATCATATTGTATAAAAGACAGTAAGTGGGATAATCGTTAAGCTTGATTTGAGTAAAACTAATCATTGTGATTGATTGAAAAGACAAAGGTGGGAAAATTGGGCCCTGACCAGTTATGTGCCATGCAAAATAATACAAGGATACAAATGGAGAAACGGTCGATTTTAGAGGGACCGCTTTGGAATACGTGGCTTAGAAAATCACAAACGGGCCCACATGTTGACAAATATGGGCCACAAGATTAAGAGAATAATTTTGGCCCATTCAAAGATGTTTTGATTGACTAGTAGTAACAGTAGCAGAATCACTTCTCCACCATCAGTGTGGCTAAGGGAAATGTTCAATTCCACAAAATTTGTAAAACGTTTTTCCAAATATATTTCCCTAAGTTTGGTTTATTTCATGATTTTTCGGGTGATTACGTATGGAACAACCAACTAACTCAGATTCGGGTCAGTGTTTCTTTGGATTTTGAGAATATATATTGAGGATATTTTGAGGCTAGATTTAGACGTATTTTTAAATTTGTTTAAGAAAATCTGGTTTTCTACATTACTTCAGAGGTAGGAAAAACTCGACGTGAAACAAATGTAAAAAAATTGTACTAAACAACTTGGTACTTGGAAAAACTTGTTTGTTGATGATGATTGGGAAACCAAAATATTTTTTCCATGGTTATTAAAGATGAATAAACATTCAAATTGATTTTATTCAATTATTGTTTTAGCAAAAGGAAAACTAGATGTAAACAATCAGGTGCTTTTCATTAAAAATAACATACTTCAAAGTAGTTTCGAAAATAAGAGAGATCATAATTCGATTTATGAAATTAAGGTGGATTAATAAAGTCTCATGACATTTTTTTTAAAAGGTCTGGTGATGATAGGGGAGCGGAAGTCCAGAATTGGACCCATATTGGAGAATTTTGAGTGCCATTGCACTAATGTTCAAAATCGACGTAAATTTTACAGTTACTTTTTTGTCTTAATTAAATTCTTCGTGGAGTTGGAGTATCACTCTATTTACCCATACGAGTATATATGCATCAAATTGGTTGAAATTCGAAGTCAGATACCTTCGAGAATTAGAGATAAGTATCCTTTAAACCTAGCTTTAGAAACATATATAGAACGCATGCACACAAAATAAACATATATAAAAAGGCCACTTACTTTATTCCACGTACCATCTAAGATACGTCAGTATCATTTTATTGTATTAAAACAAGTGCTTATTAAAAGTGGCCATACGTTATATGGTAATAGCTCCCTTTTCAGGGACGGCCTTGAGCCCAAACTGGAGAAGCTTCATCTTTCTTGGCTTTCTCTGCGACTTGGCTGCGGCTACAACATGCGCTGCACTGTCCATTAGCATAGCTACCACAACAACCGTATTTGCAACCGCCGCGACCACGTTTTTGCATCCCCACACTGTTAGTTTCCTCGTTCGGGTAACGACAGCAGCGGATGCAGCCATTGCTTCCCGCATAGCAGCAACCGTGCCTGCACCAACCTCTAATGTATCCTCCACCATTTTGCTCCGGCTCTTTCGCATCCGTATCAACGGTATCAAGACCGTCATTGGGACTCACCATTTCATCTGTTTGTATATATATTGTGAATTGTGTATAAGTACCATTCCATCACTATGTATATCAGTATATATATGAGATAGAGAACATAGATCATATAACTAAACTATGTATAAAAAACAAAGGTGATCTACATATTCTATATTTATAGATTTCATGAGAGTATAAAGATAAATTATAATTATATATATATAATATTTACTTTGTTCCCAGGGACGAGTCCGAAATGGATCTGAATTAGCAAGAGATAAGCAGGTAAAGAACAAAGCCAAGACAACAAGAAACTTGGAGACTGCCATTTATTTTTATTTTTTGTTAGATACACGAGCACACTTTGGTTTATTAGAAGAAAAGAGGTTTTGGTGTGAAGGATGTGTGACAGTGTGAGCTTTGAGAGCATGTATTTATAGTGAAATGGCGACAAGAGACTCTCGAGACCGTAAATATAGTCACGCAAACTATTATTGCGAAATTTAGAAGATTCATTTTGATATAGTCCATATTTACTTTAAACAAGACTTTTCATGAAATTTATTGCATATGTATCATACGTTATCGTATATTCATATTATCTCTTCTTAAAAAAATATAATAAATAAGGAAATTACGATGGATCAAAACCATCCAATTTTATTCGATCGGTTGTATTGAGTCTATTTCTAATTTGATTTTGCTTACTAAGGTTTTGGTCCGATCGAGCTCGGGTAATTAGGTCTCTGTAATACAAGCTAGTTAGATAGTGGGTATATTATACATTAACTAACTAATAAAATCATAATATGGTAAAACAAATATGTGGTTTATGGATTGTATATGAACTATTGGAACATAAATATTCTTAAATTTTGTTTTTGACATTTTACTTTTCATATTGATTTGTGTGGGTGTGCATGCTATAATTATAGAATATAGATCCTTTACAGTTGTAATTTTATTTTAGTTTTTTATTTGGTTTAGAATTTATAAACACTATCGAATTGTGGTCCATTGTTTTACGAACAGAAACCCGAATATATATGAAAATTTAAGTCACCGTATACTCCTATAGTATTAAGTTATTAATAATTTAAATACTTATGCTTGTCAGCTTGTTCATTGAATTTATGTTACCGTATACTCCTTTTTTTCACAAACATTACCGTATACTCCTATAATAGTAAGTTATTACTAAGATAGTGCATCTTAAAAGTTACTACGGCTTGATAATATAAATTTTTAAAAGCAGCAATTTGGATTAACTATTATATTATTATAATTTGATGTGGTGGAGAAACTGTTCATTGTCAAAAGTAGTGGAGATACTCATCAAGTGTTTTCTGAATCCTTGACATCTATCGGTTCCGAGTTTCTCTATCCTCAAGACTTTTCTAAAGTCATCGAAAAATATATATTTAAATCACATTAAAAAAAAAGAGTTATTGGAAACAGTGCTTAATCGCAAATTTGTCACGTACGAATTATAGGTTTTAAACTTAATGAGGTTATTGAAGAGAACCGAAGTCATCTTTTCCTGAGATGCGACGTTAGCTTGTCATCGGAAGATTTGATAATTATCCTTTATTTTTTCATACTTGGACGGATTTCTCCTCTTAGCTTGGAATGACAGACTTAACAAGTCCGAAGATTCTGCACAGGTTGGTTTGGAATAAAAGGAATAGTAAGTTGCACAACAACATATTTTTTCACTGCAAATTATCTTCAAAGTTATTGATCAACTCATTTATATAACGCGATTCTGACAAAAGGAAGAACTCAAACGCTATGGTGGTAATATAATACAAACTTAGGTCACCTATGACTAAGATATTTTCCCTATTCGCTATTATATAGGGTTCTCTCTTGTTTTTATCTTTTCTGACTAGGAGTAACCTTCTGATTAATTTATTTTTAAAAAACATTACATATTCTCTTATGATAGTATACTTAATGAAATTCAAATGAATGTAGAAAAATGTATAAATATTGGATAGATCTACTTGGCAACCGGGCACCACCGAATGATCAAATTTAACATATTAATATATTATATTATGTCGAGGACTGAAGCCTGGAGGGTAATATTGTTAGAGAAACTGTTAAGAAAATAGTTCAGTGGATATTTTTACCCCACATTATAACTTTAATCACGCATTTAGACAACGGTCCAACTCAAACGTATATATTGAAGACTTTGAAGTCCTGTGATGACTGTTTTTCTTTTTTTCCCAGCAAAGACAACAAGTAAATATCATTTGATTTTGGAACATACGTTTTATTCATAATAGACTACATCAGCAAAAAAAATTTTAACATCAACTCGTACTCCATCAACATTTTTTAAATAGTGTTAATATCTACAGTGTTACTGTTTTCTCAGGCAAGAAAGTCGATTATTATTTAACAGCCCGAAATATGGGTTTTAAATATTGCCCAAAATCGGATAAATAAAATAATAAGACCCAATTACGGTTGAGTTCAAATCGTAACCTAAACGTTTTATTTTCTGTCCATACCTAAGAAACTGAAAATCCTACTGGATCTGATCCGGTCTGGATAAGCGAGCTTGAGTCTCTAATGCTTCTAATGGCATATGACTTGTTAATCTTATCTAAGTAGTTTGCACTTCGATCGGGCGATCAGAACTCCGTTGGTTCTTTTTTTTTTTTTTTTGGTAAACAGAGGCTTCCAAAAGTTCAAAGTAATTCTACGAGTGAAACATCAGATATTCTTACCACTAATTAAAACATTCATAATAGCTAACTATAGTTGAAAAAGAATATGAATCTTAATTTTTCAACTAATAAAAGAGTCATTTAACCACAAGAGACCATGATTCATATATATTATTCTTCTCCATTTAGAGCAATTTTAATAATGTTACCAAAAGAGGAAGAGTTTGAATGGAATTCTATGATTGCTTTGGAATGTATAGAATACCTTATCCTTTCGAACGGTGTGTTTCAACTTTCAAGTGTAAGAGTTGGACTTTGTGACAACTATATCGACGTGTAAATATCACAGGTCATGGTATTTACACATGGAACCACATAGAAGAGTTTAGCTGTCGAACCTTTTGATGGATGTAATAATGGCTTTCAACGTTCAGCTTTTACTATGTGTTTATGGCCAGAATCAAAGGCCGATACTTGACGAATACTGTATATAGTTTCAATTCGACTGGTCCGACAATTTTTACTCAGATATTTTTCTGATCGACGAATTAACCATATTTTAAATTATTAACAGACATTTTACCTTTTTTGTTCATTAAACTGTATACATATAATAAAATTTAAAGTTAATTTAACAATAAATTATCTTTGGTTTTTTTAATGTGTAATAAAATTTTTATAAAAAGTGAAAAATAAGAGTGTTACATATTTGTTGGACAAAAAAAAGGGAGTGTTATATTTATTTTTGAGAAAAGAAAAAAAAAGTTTGTGAGAAAGAGAAAGTTTTCATAGCATGTCGATAATTAATTAATAACACTAAGTGGCTCAATATACTTACAAAAACAACAATATATTTATTTTCAATTTTTTTTGAAGAGGCTAGAGCAACGGTGAATTTGTTCACAAAATCACAAGTTGATGGGAATACAAAACAGAATTGGTAGAGCCACCATAGCTAAAACTATAAACAATAGCATCGAAGCTTCTTATAATCTTTCTTGATCAGTTTCTGGGATTCTTCTCGATCACATCTATTATCAGTTTAGATAGTTTTTCTAATATGATGATAAGCCGAGACGGAATATTTGATCAATCAGAACGAATGTGGTTATTGAGTATCTTCTTACATTTATATAATTGTAAAAATTGTTTTCACACATAAATACGCCATTATCTTCCCTCACTCGACGTCTCGACATAATTGACCGTTGTCTTGTCCCTATGCTTTGCCGCTCAACTATAAATACACGAGGTGTGATTATACACTGCACTACAAAAACATCTTCTCTCACAACAAAACCACATAAGCTAAGTTTTGTGTAACGAAATCAAAACATGGGAAGCCTCAAGTCTCTCGCTCTCTTGGCTTTGCTATTTACCTTCTCTTTCGCTGTTTTTGCCGACACATCCAATGATGCTACACATGGTATATAACTCTATCTTTTGATTTTCTCTTTTTATACTTTCATATAACTGACGATCGAATGTTTAATACATGGCCTGACGTAAGTAACACATAAATGACACGTGCAGCTAAGAATGACGTGAATCCAAGTGAAGCAACCGATGCCATAGAGCCACAACAACGTGGTCGTGGCGGTTGTAGGTACGGATGTTGCGGATCCTACGCTTTTGGGAGGTGCAGCGCTTGCTGCAGCCTTAGTCAGGCCCAGGCCCAGGCCGAGGCCGTGGAAGCTGCAGAGGCCATTGAGACCGAGGCTGTTGATGCCAACGCTGTGGAGCCTCAGCAACGCGGCCGTGGTGGTTGTAGGTACGGATGTTGTGGTAGCTACGCTTTTGGACGGTGCAGTGCTTGTTGCAGCCTTAGTCAGGCCCAGGCCGAGGCCGAGGCCGAAGAGACCGTGGAAGCTGTTGAGCCCCAGAAAAGGTTGGGTGGTGGTTGTAGGTACGGATGTTGCGGACCCTGGCGTTATGGACGGTGCATCTACTGTTGCAGAAGTCCTCAAGCCGAGGCTGAAGTTGTTGAGCCCCAGCGAGTCCGTAGTTGTAGGTACGGTTGCTGCGGAAGCTACGCTTTTGGACAGTGCAGTGCTTGTTGTTCCAAGAAGATGGCTACAGAGGAAGAGAAGAAGAAGGATGAAGCTAAACCATAAATTGGCGTGGAACACAAACTCTCTGTTTGTATGCATGGAATGCATGTGGTTCATTGCTATTTCGTACGTATGTTAAAATAAAAGATATAATGGTGCCTAATAAGGACTCAATAAATAAAAAAAGTGGTAGGTTCAATTTACAATATGTTTTTGTTGTGTACTGTTTTTTTCTCTTGAAGATTAGTAATAACAACTGTTTTACTATTTAAATCATGGACTGAAGTAAAATTTAAATAATTTTAATTATTAAAAAGAATCTAGATCTATAAAACCATAAGTTCATATAATATGGTATCATATAAATTTATTATGCCAAAAATAATGAATGCTAACAATATTTATGTTTTGTTTATATAGAAAAACTAAAAATATTTATCTTCTTAAAGAAACAATAATAACCTTTTTCCTTATTAATCTCCAAAGTTCCATTGTTCTAGATCCACAAAACTCCAAATTTCCCCATTCTTCTTAATTAGTCGTCTTCAAAATTTCCGTTTTGAAAAAAAAAATAAATAAAGAACTCAGTTTTTATTTTAACTAAACTAACCATGTGTACATATGAATTAGATATATATGCGTGGGTATGGTCAAAAAGGGGGCTGAATTATCAAGAGATAAGCAGGTAAAGAACAAAGCCAAGACAACAAGAAACTCCGAGCGTGCCATGTTTTTTTTTAGGCTAGATTACGCGAGCTCAATTTGGTTTCAGTGATTAGTCTTATAAGTATTTAGAAGAAAAGAGGTTATGGTGTGAAGGATGTGTGAGCTTAAAAGCATGTATTTATAGTAAAGATGGCGACAAGAGACTCTCGATACCGTAAATGTCACGCAAACTATTATTACAAAATTTAGAAAATTAATTTTGAGATAGGCCATATATAATTTAATCAAGAATTTTCCATGAAATCTAATATAAATTGAGATACTACATATCATATCAGATCATATTATCTACTAAAGACATTAAATAAGGAGATTGCGATGGATCAAAACGGTCCGGTTTGATTCGGTTCGTATTGAGTCTAAACCTAAATTGATTCTGATTATCAAGGTCCGATCATGCTTGGATAGTTTCATATGTTAAAATGAAAGATTAATGGTGCCTGATAAGGTATCTAGCTCAATAAAAAAAGTGGTAGTTTCATATATAATATGTATTATGTTGTGTAGTGTTTTTCTCTTGAAGATTAATAATAAACTGTTTTACTATTTAAATCATGCACTAAGTAATATTTAAATTATAAATTTATGAAAAGCATCGAGCTCCACAACACCATAGGTTCATATAATATGGCATCATTATGCCAAAAATAATGAATGCTAACAATATTTATGTTTTGTTTATATAGAAAAACTAAAATATTTATGTTCTTACGGAAACAATAATAAGTTTTTTCCTTCTCCTAATCTCCAAATAAAACAGTAGTAAGTTTTATTCATCTACTGTATCAGCAATCATTTTTTTTGTTTTTACATCAACTCCATTAACATTTTTTTGAATAGTTTCTACAAGAAATAACAGTGTTCTTGTTATTTTACACGAGTCAAAAGGGATAGCATGCTATTTTTTCCAGGCCAGAAAGCCAATTACTATGTAACGGCCCAGATATGGTTGAGTTCAACTCGATCGTAACCTAAACGTTTCCATTTTCGGTCTACGTAAGAGACTGAAAATCTCACGGTGACTCTGATCCAGTCTGGATCATTGAGTATCTAATGTAGTAATTTAGTAACGCTTCTAGTGGAATATGGTTTGTCTCGTGATTAGACAACGGATTGGTTTGGTTTGGTTTGACAAATGCTGAATTTTATTTTCATCTAAAGAGTTGAATTGGACTTCGATCGGGCGAGTCCCGTCGGTTCTTTTTGTGTTTTGGTTTTGATAAACAGAACTTTCCGAGTTCGAACTAATTTACAAGTGAAACATCGGATATTCTTACCCCTAAATGAATTATTATACTTTTCAAAACAAAACAAAAAGAATTATTTGACCACGCGACACCATAAATTGATTCTTATAATTATAATTCCTTTTCTAACTTCCCTTTTCTTCATTTATTAGCAATTCTAATGATTTGACTAATTAATGCGACAAAAAAATGATTTGGCAAAAAAGAGGAAGAGTTCGAATTTGGAGCTTTTGGTATGTATTGAAGACATTATCCTTTCGAACGCTGGGTTTTCAAGTGGAAGAGTTGGATTTGTGTCAACTACTTCGACACGTGTAAGCACCACAGGTCATGAAGAGAGCATGGCATTTACACATGGAACAACATAGAAGAGTTTAGCTGTCGCACCTTTTGATGCATGTAATGCAATGGCTTTCAACGTTCAACTTTTACCATGGGTTTTTGGGCAGAAGTGAAAACGGCTACTTGTCAAATATATAGTTTTATTCTGTACTGTTAATTCGATTCAGCTACGACAGTTTTTTACTCGGATATTTTATTATCGATTGGATTAACTCATTAACCTTTATCTTCGTTTGGCAAGCTAATGCAACTGTGGGTGAGCTGATTCTGTTGTAATCTTGAAAATCATGATCATTCTGTTGCATTATTTTTTACTTCTTTTTGTTGTCCAATGTAACATGTATAGGGGTTAAGCTTCTGTAAAACCCAAAGTTCCATTTTATATAATAATTACAAGTTAGCACACACAAAAAGCAATAAACAGAGCTTTTTGTTGATTATCTTGTTTTGAATGGGTATTTCTGTATTTTATTTATAATATAAATGAATAGATTTTAGTGTTATAAGTAGAACATATCTTGTATCTGCTAGTTGACAAGAAAATATTTGTTTTTTTCTGTTGTTGGAAATTATCCGTTGACATTGTGATATACTGATATATATTTGTTCACTGGTGTCTACTGTTTACTGACCGGAAGATAGATGATATTTATGTTTTGCACATAGTTTTGTTTTTTTCTGTATCAACATCATGTCCGTGACACTATTTTATATGTACACAAAACCATAATTAGTATAAAATCGTATTGTACAGTCTCTTAAATCTTGATTCTCTTTCGGAAGTCAAAAAAAATCAGTGCTTCTATAAAGCTGTATTCTTAGTTAATATTAAGTTGTAAGAACAGTAAAATTTCCATATCATGTCGGTAAAATTTATTCGCAAAAGAATAATACTAACAATAAGTGGTGACTAAAATCTGATCTAACAATAAGTGATGACTAAAATCCGATCTAACAATAAGTGATGACTAAAATCTGATTTATAAAAGTATCTGCAAGCCACAGTGTTTTGTTTTCAAAATCACAAGTCGATGGAAAATACAAAAAAAAAAAAAAATTGTTAGAGCCATCATAAGTCATAACTAAAACTTAGACAGCATCGTCAAGGTCTTTTTTTTGGGGGGGGGGGGGTTAAAAGCATCAAAGCTTCTTATAAGCTTTTTTCTTGATCACGTACTACGATTCTTGTCGATCATTTCTATAACCAATTTACCATAGTTTAGATAATATGATGATTACGTCTGCCGAGATGAAATATCAATCATCGGGATCAATCAGAAGCAATATATGGTTATTGACTTTTTTTTCCTTACAATTTTTATAAACCATAAAAAATTTCTGTTTAAAATATGCCATTATATTTACTCACTCGACATAGTTGACTGGTCTCTTGTCGCCATTTTTTGCGGTCCAACTATAAATAGATGTGCAGTGGTAATACATTTTTCACTACCAAAAGCATCTTCTCTCACAACAAACAGAACAAGTTTAAGTGTTTGGTGTAACGATATCCAAAAATTTAAGAGTTTGGTGTAACGAAGTCAAAACATGGGAAGCCTCAAGTCTCTCGCTCTGTTGGCTTTGCTCTTTTCCCTCTCTCTCGTTGTTTTTGCCGACACATCCAACGATGCCACACATGGTATACAACTCTATATATATATAGATTCCCTCTTTTATACTTTCAGATAACTGATGATCGACTGTTTAATTCATGGCCTGAAGTAAATAACATATGAATCACACTTGCAGCTAGGGATGAAGTGAAGCCAAGTGAAGCAACCGATGCCATAGAGCCTCAGACAAGGTGGGGTGGTGGTGGACCTGGTGGTGGACTTGGTGGTTGTAGGTTCGGATGTTGCGGTCTCTGGTATCGTGGACGGTGCAACTACTGTTGCCGAAGTCCTCAAGCCGAGACTGAGGAAGCCGTGGAAGCTGAAGCTGTTGAGCCTCAGGGAAGGTGGGGTGGTGGACCTGGTGGTTGTAGGTTCGGATGTTGTGGGTGGCGTTATGGACGGTGCGCCTACTGTTGCCGAAGTCCTGAAGCCGAGACCGACGAGGCTGTGGAAGCTGTTGAGCCTCAGAGAAGGTGGCGTGGTGGTTGTAGGTTCGGATGTTGCGGATGGCGTGGGAGACGGTGCGCCTACTGTTGCCGAATTCCTCAAGCTGAAACCGACGAGGCCGTGGAAGCTGTTGAGTCTCAGCAAAGTTCTGAGGAAGTGGAGAAAAAGGAAGAAGCTAAGCCATGATTTGGTGTGTAAGCAAACTCTATGTTTGTACGCTTGCAATGTATGGTTTATTACTATTACGTACATATGTTAAAAAAAAAAAAAAAGTGGTGCCTAATAAGGTCCCTAGCTCAATAAAAAAAAATCGTAGGGACATAATATATGTATTTTGTTATGTAGTGTTTTTCTCGTAAAGAAATAAGAACAACTGTTTTAATATCAAATCGTGGATTATAATACTCTCTTTTTTCCTTCTGGATACGTACATCATCTCAATTATAATATATTCATTACAATTATAAGAATGAGAAAGCATTAAATAAGAAAGCATGTCAATAAACAACGTAGGTTCTATTTGGGACTGATCCCAGAAAATTTATAACATTTAATATGGGGCACATGCCCCATAACTTAGATTGTGGATCCCCTCCTGGTTCATATATATAATAAGAATCATAGTCACATAGACTTAGCATCCTAAGAGTACCTCCAATGGGAAGTTTAGGATAAAGCTCTTGACAATAAATTAAAGAAAAAAAATAAAAGTAAAAGAGAGATTTATAGAAACGGTTCTTCAAGTTCTAACCTCATTTTAGAAAAGATCTACAGCTGTCTAACTTATTATTAGTCTATATTTTTAACAGAAATAAAAATTAAATTAAAAATTTAAATTATATTAAAATAATAATATTTGAGTTTTAATAACCTCTTTCTGAGATACTACTGATGAGGTGGTCTAAGAATTATGATATATAAAAAAACTGTTAATATTCATTTACAATAATAATTGTGAAAAGGCATGTAGCTAGGTCAATAAAATCATAGGTTCTTTTTTTTTGTTAAAGAAAAAAAAAACCATAGGTTCATATATATATATATATATATGACAACTGGTATCATGTAGACTTGTAACAATAAAATTACGAATAAACAACAACTGTTGATTGTAAAATCTCGAACTAGAATACTTAATTTAATGATGTATGAATAATGTAATTTATAATGATTAGAAAAGCATATTTGCATTAATCAATTTTAGATTTCATACATGCCAGCGAAAGGAGTATTCACCGATCCAACCCATAGAGTTCCGTCTCTCTCTTCCAATTCACTTATAGACATCCACTTATGTCCATTTTTACCCTCAAAGATTTCCGATATTAGGCCACTACCCTCGCTCAACCTCACGGCCATGCCATTCCCTTTGTATTTGGCCCAATACGAATGGATCTTCATCCAGTCCACCGGTAGGCCCAAAGCGGCGCGTCCTAGCCACGCGTTAGACATAGCGAACTTTGTCAGCTTTGTGTGTTTCGTATTCACGCCTACCCAGAATCCGCCACGTGGACTCCTCTTTATGTTGTCGGGAAACCCTGGGAGCCGCTCCGCAAAAATCTCGTAGTTTTCGGGAGATTTAGTCGACGACGTATCGTTGAGCCAGTAACGTAGGATCCGAGACGTGGCAGTCTCGGCCACGAGAAGGTAATCACCGTTTTGGCTCAGAACGACGCCGTTTGCGAACGCTAGGTTACTTAAAAGAGTGGTCACTTGTTTTGTGTTTGGGTCGTACTTCATTAGTCTACCGGTTCTGTCCCCACTCATCATCACCCCTATATAATTCCTGAAAAAAAAAAATTTAAATCAACAATTTACGCTCTTATACCATATAGTTTTTAAATAATATTTTCAGTTATAATTTTATTTTTCATTTCAAAATATATAACAATACAATATTTACGGTATATGCATTTGTATGTGTATTCCATATATTTGCATGTGTATGTGTATCTTTTTTTTTTAAAATTGTTTTCAGAGCATGCTTTTTACATAATTTCAAACTTCGCAAAATCATACCTCCGTTGGTAAACCGAACTACTATCGGTAAAGTAGACAAATCCGGTCCGTGGATCTATGTCTAATCCGTTGGTAAACCTAAGGGGCTCATCCAGCTGATGTGTTAACATCTGGTTGGCTAAACCACCTTCTGGGCCAACTTTAAGAAGGCCCATATAAGCATCAGCTATATAAAGATCACCAGTGGATTTTTCAAAAGCCAGGCCCAATGGTCGTCCGCACACGTGTTCCGTTTGTTGGTGCTCGTGCGGGCCCTCACAACCTTCTCTGCATTTAATTAAAACATAAATTTCCGTTGCAGTGTTTTATTTTTCTTGGAACACCTCCATTGAAGTGTAACATTTTTTTTTTTTTAAACCCATCATTTGATAACTATTTTTTTTTTGGCTATTATTAGTGGTATACTAAATAGAAGCATAACAAGCATTTAAATAATAAGCATAATAAGCTGATTTAAATGAGTACTTGTTCTTCCATCCGTTTAGTGGTATAATAAATAGAAGCATAATAAGTATTGCTGTATATTTTTATTTATATTGTAATCTTTGTAAAATGTAGCATCAAATAACATTTTCTAATAGCAAACCTGGACCACCATAGTCAAGTAGTCAACAACACATTTCCTATATTTTGTAACCGAAGGGTTCGTTTACTCACATTATTCCTAGTAAATAAAAACAGTGCAGCAATTTCTACATTGTCACTCATTCTTTAGCTGTCATCTTTTATTTGAAATTTTATTTTTTGAAAAACTGCAACATTTCACAACACGCGCGTGAGAAAGAGCATGGAGAAAATATTCAAGGAAATCAAAGAAGCAATTAAGCTGCATAGCCAAATATGCATATATAATGCGCATGCAATAGAGTTTTAGAATCCCCCTCAAAATGGGAATTTCACATGCATGCCCAAATGAACCAATTGTGTGATTCAGAAAGTTAATTTTACATTTTAAAACAACAAGTTGACCACGTGAAACAAAAGATTAAAAAGTTGACGTACATATGCAGAAACAAAACAAGTACTTTTTTTCTTTGTCAAGTACCGTTCTTAGTCAGACAGGAATTCATAGCTAATCGTATTAATTTGAGATGTGAATTAAATCAAAAGGTTTAACTTATAATCAATGTTGGAGTTTCAAAGGATGTAATTTCATTATTCTGATAATTAAATCGATAATTTCGATGGGACAGAGGAGTTGGTGGATATAGTTGAAGGAGTTAAAACCACACAAAACAAAAAACGAGGAAACAAAAAATCCCAATAAAAGTAAAAAAAAAAAAAAACAGAGATTATCGCGTACCTTGTTGGGGTGGTGACGGCGAAATCGATCCAACGGCTCTCATTAGCTATCCACTTAACAATTCGACCGTCAGATAAACCGGTGTAAGGACCTTCGCCGGAGAAATCAAATACGAAACTCTCCGGTCCCGAAGCTCCGGTGGTCGGAATCAGACGGAATTCAGGCAAATGAACAGTCAACACTGATTCTCCATGTTTTGGTCTCTCGCCGGAAAATTTGGTGAGGGTAAAGAGAAAGGCAACAGAAAATGCCACCACCAAGAAGAGTTTCATCATTTTCCGATTTTTTTCTTGCCCTCTATTTTTGTGTATCTGGTAAGAGTTATTATGGTTTATATAGAAGGTGTCAGAAAATAATAAATTGTTTTCTTATACATGTCGAAGTCGTGTCAAACAAATTAAAAACGTAATATTTTAGCTTAGAATTTAATTTTTATTGTATTCTTAGGGATTTGTGGATTCAGAATTCCGTTTGTTTAGTTTTCTTTTGTCATCATCCATTTGTTGATTTATATGTTTATTTTTATGTTCAAACACTTCCTTCTTACTAGCTTTATTATGAAAGATATGTTTCCTTCTTACTACCTAGACAGTCATGATACCATTCACCTACCTATTGACAAGATAGAAGTTTTTGCCGTTTGTAGAATGAGATATTAAGGAAATTAAACAATGCCTCAATACGTGTAATAATTGGATTATTCAATTTTTATCTCTCTATAACTAAAACAATAAAACGAAATAACACTAAAACAGGTTAATTACGTTTTTGAAGTCAAGATTTGTGAGCCATATTACATGTAGATAGTATGATTGCTTACCAGCGTCGGAAACTGAGGGGTCACATTTAGTTCATTGTATTCACGTTTTAGCTAGGGCTATTTTCTATACTCTGACTCTCTATATATTTTCTTCCCATCAAAATCTGCAGATTTGTTGTCTATTTAGTTGGATAATTTTTACAAGTCTGGGTAACGTGTACATGTTATTCAACCAAAAAAAAAACTATATACGGAAAGATTATATTTTCCTTACACAGAACAAACTTTGAATTAGAAAAAGACGTAATGAGATCATTACCTTCCTACCCACATTTTATTTTTGTAACAAATAATAATTTATCTTAGGTTTATATGTTTATAAATGAAATTAACAGAAATTTTATATAGCCAAAAAAAAAGACAAAGGAAGTTTGGAGAGAGTGAAGTGACAGGAGAAGGGGCAGTGGGCAGAAGAAGCAACGGCATGAGCCCCACTCGGCAACCTATTACTTGTGTTGCCTTCTGATTTCTGACCTTTTTTTTTTTGGTCATCAAACCCATCCAAAACAAACAAATATTCCAAAAATATCAGAGCCAATTAAAAACGAAATTATTCAATAGAGAATATGTCAACTCCTCATGTTCACAAATATATCCCACCTTAATCCTGTCTATTAGGGTTAGTATGGACTGCACACGGCCGGTCTATAGCCTCACATTTTTTTTCTCAAATTTCTTGTTATCGTTTTGATTTAAAAATAAGTAAAAATAATAATAGATACTTTTATATAGAGGTATTATCTTGGTCTTTAAGTAATACAAATATTAGAAACCAAAAAAAAAACAAAAGAGCTCTTGGCCTGCCAAAATATATACTCACATAAGTATATTTATAATAAGCTGAAACTGAACCGAGTCAAAAATTATATCATAAATCGATTCCGATTCGGTTTAAACATAAAAATTCGATTTTAGCTTCATTCAGGCTGGAAGTCGATGGCGACCTGCGAAACCACCTTCCGCCTAGAACCCTTTTCTACTTTAATTTTCTTTTGGTTATATGAATTCTTCTTTTAAAATCGTCACTTTTTTCGTTCCATCTATCTCTCTTTGAGCTTGTAGATAGGATAATATACAAGTTACTAGTTTACCAAAAAAGATAATATACAAGTTACTTTTCAGTTAACATTAAAACCCAAATAAATACACGAAATATAATTAAACTGAGAAAATAGATCGTCGAATTGAAAGGAAAAGTAAACCATACAGAAACCAAGATTTACTTTAACAAAAAAAAACAAGATATCAGTAATTTATATAAGATCAAGAGTCGGGAAAAGGACTTATTTTAAATGCAAATCTAACCGGATACAGCCCATTTGATTATTATCAAATTCACACACATGAGAAAAATGATAACGTAGAAGCAAGAAAGTTACTTTAACCACGGTACTAATAAAAAGAACTGAAAAACATAATCGTATAAATCACTGACGATCGAGAACCCAAATGGATGGCAGAAACACAGACCCAAACCAGAGCTTACCATCTCTCTCTTGAACCTCACTAATGAACTTCATATTCTTTCCTTCACTATCTTCATGAATCTCCACAATCTCTCCAGTCTCGCCGCAGAGTTTCACGGCCACGGCATGAGGCTTCCCTCCTTCAAAGAGAAAAACCAACAGCTCCATCTTCAACGTCTTAATGAAAAATTTCCCAATCCACGGATGCATCAACGAAAACCTAGCAAATGGAGTTTGCTTGGAATGCAAGGCAACCCAGAAATCCCCTGTCTTGGTCCTCCTGATGTTATCTGGATAGCCAGGGAGCTTTGCAAATATGTCGCGGGTCCCGGCTTTAGGTCCTTTGACCCAATATCGATGCACAAGTTGCGTTGGGGGCTCACATACAAGAACGAACGAACCATCTTTGCTTAAGGCAAGACCATTAGGGAAATGAAGACGGTCCATTAAAACTTTAGCCTCTTTGGTCTTCATGTCGTATCGAATCGTTCTTCCCGTCTTTTCGCCACATAGAAACACGGAGAATACGTCCCTGATCCAAGCAAGAAAGTAAATTTTAATTCTTTCGAAGCAAATTTTATAAGTTTTAACTAAAAATTGGTCTATATGTTGTTTACGAGATTTTTATTTTATTTTATTAAATTAGGTTAACTTTTTCTTTTTCCTAACACAAGCTTCCAACTTAAAACTAATTAATTGACCTATAAAGTTTATTGTACATCAGAAATATCACACTTTTTTGATATGGGTTCTAAACTTCTAATAGGTCTCTCGAAATGAAAACGAGAAATGCACAGTCTTCATAGAAATATCACAACAAAAGAGATTACTTATACGACCACTTAGAATACATGAAACCGATTTTGTGGGAAACCTTTTTCGGTTCAACTTTGAGATATGAAAAAATATGTTAAAATTTGGGTTTCCAACTCAAACTCAATTTAAAATGAGTACATTGGTTGATGACCCGTATTTTATATATGGTCTATCAATTTTCAAATTTCCATATGTAGGAACTAAAAGAAAAGTAATAGACAGGTGAAGTTATAATACCCGAAGTGGTAGGTGTCGCTGCTATCGTTGAAGTAGATAACATCCTCTTCTTCGTCTATATCCATTTGGTTTGCAAACATAATTTTCTGGCCTTCGACTTCATCCAGGACTTTCTCGGCCAATCCTCCTTTAGGCCCGACCTTCATTACCCCAAAGTAACCGTCACAAAAGTACAAATCTCCCGATTTCTTGTCGAAGCTCAGTCCCAAAGGCCTCCCACACGCAGGTTCCACCTTATGGCTCGAACAGTTCCCTCTTTATATATTCGAAAATATATAGAAACTTTGTTATGTTTGTGTCTATCCCGTAATCATTTATCGAAGAAACAGTTATTCTTGTGTTTTTTTTTTTTTAACAACTTGCGTTATTAACTTATTAAGTAGTATATTCTTGTGTTTCTTTATCTTAAAAAAAACATATATTCTAGCTAGCGCTTCATCATTCTGATTTAAATTTGGATTTTTCAAATCAAGAACATAAATATACATGTGATACAGTGAAAACCCTAGCAACCTACCAGAGTTAATGTCTCGGTCCAACACATCAATTTTTTTTTTTTTTTTTTTGTAATTGTAAAATCAAGCAAATGCAAAATGCAGAATTCTTAATAATTTTTTTTTTTTTGAATGTACGTACATATATATACAACATGCAAGTATACTTAAACAAACCTGTGGGGAGATGTATGGGCGAATTCGACCCAGCCAATATCCTCACCGCGCCATTTGAGTATGCGACCGTCGGTGACTCCGACGTATGGGCCTTCCCCTCGTGGATCCCAGTCCATGCTTTCCGGTCCATCCACGGGAAGCGGGATCATTTTAGCCGTGGTTAGGACGTTTTTCGAGCCCACTATATTCTCCGGTCCAATGATGTACGGCCCGACAAAAACGACCAGGACCCCAACAACCGCCGTCACAACGGCCCACTTCAGAACTTTACGGCTGATTGGCATTGATTTTGTAGCTGCTCGTCCCTCTCTTTCGAGAAAAATCGTGTGTTAATTAGGTGTAAGTTGGAATGGCTAGCTAATTACTTACTTATATGCATATGTACTAGTTAATTATTTGGAATGTTTCATGTTTGAGAATACGTGAGAGACAAGACAAGGAATAAATAGAGAAAAGCATAAGCGTTTAAGAGAAGCGATCCCATGCTTACCACTTTTGATGACCTTTTTTTTTTATGGGTATTTTCAGAATATTACTTTTGTAATTAGTTATTTGGTCGTTAATATCTGAGAGTGGACTTGGATTTGACTAGGACTTGGATTTGAATAGGACTTGGATTTAAATAGGACTTGGATTTAAATACTTGTATTTATGTAGTACTTGGATTTAAATAGGACTTGGATTTATGTGATATGTTCGTCCAAAAAAACAAAAAAAGGACTTGAATTTAAATAAAGAATTCTGACCCCCCAAAAAAGAATATTCATTGTAATATACATTTATTATTCAACAAAAAGCTACAAAAATTGTGCTACACCTAGATCTAATAACATTATTGATTATTCTAAACCAACAAAATAAAGATATAAAAATTATGGTGTAAGATAGGAGTTCAGTATGAGCTTTATAATCAAATGGAGTTACACGACCATAATCACATAGTCTTTATTTATTGTATGTTTATTGTATGTATTATATGATGCGTAACATTTCATATTGCCTTTTTCTCGGCCTTTTGTTGTATCGGAGGGGCACTAGACATGTAACATCGCTTGTAAGGGCAATTTAAATTTCGGTTTATCATTTTGTACATGTTACCGATTAAAGGCTAATGATGAAACTATCTAGGGAACAAACAAAATACGGACCATCTAAATTTTCAACTTAATTAATTGTCAAATGAAATGAACTTTTGTTATCCCATACTTACATAAAAGAGTTAACAAATAACCATATTATCAACCGGAAGATAATCATTTGAACTATAATTTAAATCGATCACAAGCAATCGAAGTTATCCGGATATGCAAAAGTTATATATATATGTGAATATCAAGAAAGCAAAGATCTAAACTTTAGAAACTGAGAAAAAGTGTTTAATTTTGAAACTTCATTCTTCTTGATAAACATTATAGGGTTTTACATACATTGATAATTATACTACAAGAAGAAGATTCTAGATATATCATAGTTGGCACACCAGCTATCAATGACACAGCTCACAACCCTTTGTCCAAGACTGCAAACCTGTTGAAAATGTCGATTTCTATTTTATCAACCGTACCGTTTGTTTCTCTGCTTTTTCCCTTGGCCGTTATTTTGCTGTTTGCTGACTGAGACGACATGGGCTTATGTTGGGCCTGCGACACATTATCTTTTCCTTCTTAATTCCTTTTGTGTCTTGGCCCATTGTCTTCTTCTCTGCAATAGTTATCATTGAGCTAATAATATATAACTCGAGTTGTTTCTTTCCAATTTTATCGGCTATCCCCGAAGGGACAACTCGAGTTGTTTCTTATTTCTTTTGTCGACAAGTCGAGCTGTTAATATTCTCAAAGTAGATCTTAACGTACGGTCGTATCTTTTTTTAAATAATGGCTGAGGTTTGGGTTCACCGTATTAAGACCATAAGCTCATTTCTTTTATAAAATCTAGTTATTATTAATGATATCACCGTGAGCTAACGTGATTCGATACTAATTTATAAAAACGGAAACGAATATGCTAACAATAATGTGCGCTTATCGATACATACAATTTTAACATATTTTGTCAATTATAAGACCGACTGGGTACAACCACTCGTAATACACACCCATTTTTATGCTAATTGGATGATTTTAAGGAACATATTTTCCATCACGTTAGCATATTACACAATTTTACAAATAAAATAACCATATTACACAGCTTGCATGTATTTCCATGAGCAATTGAAAATTAGGATGAAATTTAATAATGCGATTTGAAATATGGTTTGTTCATGTGGATATTTTATATAGTCAAACATCCTGCGTTCCATGGATTCTGAAAAATAATTTGAATTTCGGTATAAAATTTTCAACTATAAAAGAAAAAAAAGAAGAAGTATTTGTAACAATTCTGTCAGTTCTTAGAGTTGAAAATTAATTTGTAACAACTAAACGGTCTTATATGCAATTTTGTATGTGTGGTTGCGAGTTCTTAGAGTTTGAAATGTTATTTTCTATGTGTTCTCCTTAACTTATATCGCATCCCCTTTTGTGTGAGATATAAACTGTTATTTATAGAGTTTTATTTTTGTCGAGTGTGGATATAATAAGAGAAAATAGCCAAATATATATTATATATATATGAATAAAATAAAATAAAATATATGAATCAAAAGATGGATGCCACCACCAGATACGATCCACCGTATCTTCTCTCATGTCACATGCCAACGTCTCTCTATGCGCTAATAATATTCGTGACATTGACTTTGCATTCATACCAATCTTATACACATTGATATAATTTTGAGTTGGATATAAAATAATATCAAAATTTACAAGTCAAATACTAAATACTCGCCGAATATGATTTGATAATTACCCAATATGTTTCTTTTAATCAGTCAAATCATAAAGGTGCAAATTTTTCAAAATAAAGATCGTATGTACTTAATTATATGTGTAGAACAAGTCAAATATTTACTTTTGTTTGGTTATTACATGGGTTGTACATTATGATAACAAAAAATCAGATAATGTTTTCGTCAATTAATGAGCTCAGAATAAGACTCATGACAACTCTGATAAAGACACAAAGATTCCACTAACCGGTTAATTGTATTTTTTTTTTTTGAAAAACAAATCTATTTATTATGTTTTTACTGTTGGTAAAGTAAAAAGATAGAGAAACAGAAGAAAGAAGAAATAAGAAAAAGAGACCTTCCATCAAGGGGAAAAAAAGTCCAGAAGGCAGGGGAGAAGGTGATGGTCAGAGCTCACCGTCAATCCTATTTCTAATTAACTTTTTTTCAATCAGTATATAAATATTTCATGCCATATTATGCGTACAAAAGCTTCATAAAACTTATAAATGACTACTAATCTGATGTTTTTGTACTATTATATTGCTTTTTTACTTAAGTTATGTACTTATATTGACCAAAAAAACGTTAAGAGGTTTCTTTGTTAACATGTTAAACGTAGGCTAATGTTTTTTTTTTTAGTACAAATTTAGACAGAAGTATAAACAAACCTTAACTGATTACTAGTTTACGTATATGGCAAACACATCCGTTCTTAAAACCTTTCCTATTTTTTATTGTAAATGTATATATCGTCCTATTTACATCCACTTTATATTTTCACTCACCCCACTAATTCGTAGTCTTCTTCTTCAAACTGTAGGGTCAAAATCAAATGATGAAGTTATGAATGTGTTCAAGAGGAGGAGGGGTCCTCTATCATCAAAGAGACATGGACGGTTGTGCTGAAGTTTAAAGAGACAAGATCTCGATTGAAGATCTATTCGACTATATATTTTCAGAGTTATTGAGATTCAAAGCATGTCTTCCCGACACATCGTGCATTACAGTTTAATGATCACTCCACTCCATTCATCAAATCGCTTTTTGAGTCAACGCCACGATCCTTTGACTCTTGCTTCTCAATCTCTTTGATTGCTATATTGAATGTACATATATATAGTCTTAAATTAATTTGATTTGTGTTTGGTTTCTCTTCGGTAAAAATACGAAACTAAAGACTAGAAATCGAGTGGCGAATTTCGAATATTGAGGAGTTTTTTATGATGAGTTTATGGCAGATACGAAGTAATTCCAAGCAACAACTTTTACCATTGGTCATATTAAGCTATTGAAGGCTTTTAGGTGACACGTTGGTTTCCAAACGATTTTAATTAAAAAGTGGGTATAAGTTTTTCTATCTAAGATTTTGTAGTTATCAATGATAAAGGACAGCCAAATGTAAATTGAAACTACCTTTCTGGAAAAAAAAAGGTACTATATATATGATTATTATTGTTCAATTAGTTAGAAAGATAATGTTTTGGCCATGCAATTCATATCTCAAACGTGTCACTGTGTTTGGAAAAAAATAAGTTGTCTGAATCCGTTGCAAATATTAAAACTCTGGACTAAAAAAACTAAAATGATTCCATTCATTCAAATACAGAATTAGATATTTTGTTGATGTTGACATTTGATTCAAAAACTCGTTATAAATAATTTGTGTAGTAATTATATTACATAATTAACCTTCGGTCATCAAAACGACATGTAGCTTCACACACATATACATATATATATATAGTTATGAGAAAAACGTGCAATATTATTTTTAAGAAATTAAAACTAGTACGAATCTTATGTCATAGCCAATAGCCTGTTAACAAATTAATACAATAAAAGCCAATCTTACATTGTCATTTTGTTGCGGATAACAAAAATGAAAATATAATGGGAAAATTATAAAGGAACAAAATGTTGAAAGCGAGGACAATATGGAACCCACTAGAGCAATAAGAGGGAATGGGTATTGCCTATTGGAGGGACTTTTCATGTGTGTCTACAATACTCTGGATACGTGTCGTCCAGAAAAAAAAGATGATAATGGGCATGACCATGGGAGGCAAAATCTTTGGCAGAGAATCAAGTGAACATTGCCATGTCTTTGCCACTACCACACAACCCCCCAATAGCTTGCTAGCTAAATAGTTTCCTAGTCTTTTGCCAATGAATCATTGCTAAGATCACCTCTCTAATGGCAGGATTTTAGAAAAAGCTCTTCATATTATATGTATAAAAAATAATAATAAAATATTATAAAGGCTTTTAAAATAGAAGAAAGGGTATCCAAAATCTCTTGTTTCAGAACCTCACTTTATGTATTTAAAGATTTTTCTCTTTATTTTGTACATAATTTCATTTTATATTATTGTTTTGAGAACTTTTACACTGTTTTCAATAACCCATGATTGGAGATGGTCTAAGTATACTCTTAGCCCCACCGCTAATCACATTAGGGAATTGATTTTTTGTCTAGGAAGATTACTTCTCTTATGAAATTATTACTTATGATAATAAAATTCGTTTTTACTAATCATCATATATTTTGTTTGGATTTAAATAAATCATAATTAAAAAGGCAGATGTGGTGCATATTATTTGTTTTTCTGGTTTTTAGTACGATATACCACAATATATATGTTTGATAGAATAGTTAAATTTTGATGAGAGATGACTGCTTAAATTATAATATGTTACCAATAAGATATAAAGTTTATCAATTTAATTTACTGGTCGAACATTATAACTGGGAATGATCACATTTGCATGCGTTGCGTTTATATGATGCAGATGTCAACTTATTAAGAGTGGGGGACAGTAAAAAAACGTCTCACATAAAAATTACATCCAATAAGTAAATGATACGCAATATAGCACGTCACATCGAGTTGCATGAATCGACAAAGCCCACAACGTAAAATGTAACATACAAATATAGGACGACGAATCTTTCTAATCTTTGTGGTCCGATGAAAATATGTTTACACTAATCACTCTTTCAATCAGGACCATCTCTTTCTAACAAAAAATAAAAAATAAAAACCAGGACCATCTCAAATTATTCCGAAATTTTGTGTCAAGTTTTCATCCATCAAGTACCAGTTTTTTCAGATTCTCAGTTAAACCATGCCTTTAATTAATAAACATGTTTTAATTAGGTTCAACAATGATTTGATCGGTGACATCTCAACATAATATATGAATTCCAAAAGAAAAATATTTCCATTAATAAAAAAATCGTCAAACAAAAAATGGATAAATTATTTAGTTAAACCATATCCATGCATATTTTGTTCTCTTCGATACATTTTATTTTCACACATTAAACTAAGAACGAAAACGCAATTTATTAATATTCGAACTACTATTTGACTAAACGTTAAAAAGAAATCAGATAAATTGTAAAACCCTATATATAATCATTTTGATGAACATTAATTAAGAAATGAACGGCTTGTTTAATTAATAAGTTGTAAAATATCTGGTTAGTCGTTTCATTTTTTGTTATAGTCTACTGACTTTTATCAGTATCGTTGTCGAATTTGAATGTGTATACATAAGATTTAGACAACAACTCAAAGAAAACCTCCAACACAACTATTTATATTGCCAGCCCTCTTAAACAACTATCTATGGGCGTCAAATAACAATGCATGTGGTTGTGATAGTATATAATTATCTATATTTATATATATATATATATATTAATCAAATCCCTCATCTTCTTATCTTAATCCTATAAAGTCTTTGTTGGATAAAACAAATCCTTTAAAATCTTCATATAGATTTCTTTCATTATTTTATCCATTACAAAACTTTATTTAATTTCTTTCTTTCATTGCCTTCTCGGAAAATTACTTTAATCCCTCAAAACTTGCTTAGTCCGTAACTCAAAGCTAGATCCAATTTTGTTTTTTTTTTCTTCTGGCCTGTTCCTCTCTCTATTCTCTCTCCGAGATTTGAGGTGAAAAATACAACCCTTTTTATTTCTTCTCCATATCTCCTAAGCTCATTGAAAACTCTTTCCTACATTCTCAGAAAAGAAAGAAACGGGAGGAAAACAAAACAAAAACAAAGTTGGAAACTTTGCTACTGGTTTTGTTGATTTTAGATTCAGATCTCTCAATTTTCTATTCAGTTTCCACAATGGGTGTGGTAACAGAGTCACAGTTCCATGTTTTGGCTGTTGATGATAGTCTCTTCGATCGGAAAATGATAGAGAGATTGCTTCAAAAGTCCTCATGTCAAGGTTAACAGATAAAAAGCCAAAATCTTTCAGCTGTGTTATTGGAGAATTAGAAAAAGGTTCTAAAAAGCTTTCTTCTGTTTCGTATATTTGCAGTAACTACAGTTGATTCAGGCTCTAAAGCTCTCGAATTTCTGGGTTTGAGAGAAAGTAATGATGAGAGCGAGGACCCAAATGTGCTCTCTACATCACCAGTAACTCATCAGGTTCAGTTTTTATTCATTTATTCATTCATGATTCAACTGAATTTCTTTCGAACGAATCGAATCTGCAATTGATTTTATTGAGATTTGTTTGTTTGTGGTTATGGGCAGGAAGTTGAAATAAATCTTATAATTACAGATTATTGTATGCCTGGCATGACTGGTTATGATTTGCTCAAGAGAGTTAAGGTATTTCTTCTTCTTCTTCGAGTTCTGGGTAATTTTCTCAATTGGGTTGCTGTCTTTTCCATCTCTGGGAAATTCGTTTTCCAGAAAAAGAAATAAAGGTGTTCTCTTTAGTTCTGATTGAGAATGTCAATGGAGATATCTCCTTGGAATATTTTCCCACTCGCTTAAACTTTCTTTCTTTATGTCATTGTATGTTATATGAACAATGTGTTTTCTTTTTCCCTGAGAAGAAACTTATGTGATTATGTAGGAATCAGCAGCATTTAAAAGCATACCAGTAGTAATTATGTCATCTGAGAACGTTCCTGCTAGAATCTCCAGGTATGCCTCTGTTTCATAATTAATTTTAATTTCTAGTCTTATTGATATGTGAATTGGCATTAGTATTATTTGATTCTTAGATCTGAACAACAAGTCTTAGACTTTGGACTGAAAGAAACATGAAGTAGTTTCTTGCAATGGATCTGGAATTTTAGACTAATATAATGTCCTGAATAATTGAAACAACAGATGTCTGGAAGAAGGAGCTGAAGAGTTTTTCTTGAAACCGGTAAAGCTGGCTGATGTTACCAAGTTAAAACCTCATATGATGAAAACCAAATTGAAGAAAGAGACTGAGAAACCAGGTAAAGAAGAGATCGCAGCTTTGAAACCGGAGATAGAAGAAGATTCATCGGTAATTGAAATCTTGCCTCTCCATCAAGAACTTGAATCCGAACAACACGAAGCAATGTTGAGTAGTAATAAGAGGAAAGCAATGGAAGAAGTGATTTCTACTGATCGGTCACGTCCTAAATACAGTGAAATCACAACTTCAGACCAGTTTTTTTTATAGGTTGTTTGTAGGAATGCTTCTTCTGGTAAATACAGGGTTGCCATAGAGACTGAAGAGGGGAGATATATGTAGATGATGATGGTAATTGGTTGTTACTTGTTATTGTTCACTATGGTAATTATCAGTAAATTCCCAGTTTTGTTTACTGTTTTTTTTTTCTTTTGGTATCAACACAATCTCAATCTCAAGAGTAAAACTTTTGCTGAGTTTTCTTTTGTTTCTTTTTAATTTTTGTTTGAGTTCTTGGCTTCTTTGCTTTGTTTTCCAGCAAACATGAGATATAATCTCTATGTGCTTGAATAAATATAGCGGCCGGTTACATATTTCAGCTTATTAGGCACATATGGTCTAGATAGTCTAAAACAAAAGAAATGCGTAATGTTAATTTTCTTAGTAAGAGAACATCAAATAATTTAGTTTGTAGTCATTGGTTTATGGATTTTTATATTTTTAGTAAAAGTTTAGTTATTACATTTTTTTAAAAAAATTTTGTCATCATATTGTTCGTTCATTATAAAAAATAAAATTATCTACTTTTTTTCAACAAGATTTTAGTTATCTATATAGACAGAATTTAAAAAAAAAATTAAGTAGAAGATTCTGGACAGTTTTAATATTAAATCAAACAAAAAATATAACTTTTACAGATTTTTTGAATGCACAAAAGTATTTTGAATTTTAATAAGCTACAAAATGCTGAATTTACGTAGGGAGATATATTCTGTATATATTTTTTACATGAGAACTTTATTTTCAGTTAAAATAGAATATTCCATTCAAAAAATTAAGTAGAAGATTCTGTGGGACCCATAAAACTAACTTTTAAGTGGTTAAAAATAGATTTTAGATTCTCTGTAAGGTAGTTTCACAAGTCGAACAGGTCAAAGATGACCGAAGGAATATCTAAGAAGAGTCGGGTTGTCTATAGATAGAGAGTGAGATAAAGAGAATCTTAAAGAATCTTTCTTGAGATCATCGTCTTCCTCCAAGTTATGGCCGAACCATGTCAACACAAAGCTATCTGCAGCTGCCGTAATGCTTTAGAGAGCAAAGACTACGTAATATTTCCTTCTTCACTAAAAGTCTATAAAATTCGTGGCACCATGATTCTCGGAAGCTTATTGTTTACCTACTCTGTTTCACCTTTGCTATCGTTGTTGTTGTTGCTCTGTTTCAGGTAAAGAACAAAATCGAGAGCTGTATTCAAAAGTACATGGACGTGGATGAAACCGCGGATTATCTGCAGAAGAATGAACAAATTAGTCCCAATCTCACCAAATCAAGTAAGACTGTAACATCGCCACATTCCAAACAAATTGTTTACAAAATTTGATTCTTGATTGGTTATCTATAAATTTTTGGGTTTTTGCACTTGTTAGTTTGGGAGCAGCTTCAAAGAGAGAGTCCAGATTTCTTCAAGAATTACATCTTAAGATGCAGAGTTGCTCGTCAGTTAAAGATGTTCAATGATATGCTTGCTAAGCACGTATCTGTGATGTTCGAGCATGGAGATCTTGATATTTGTGGTGCATCACGTACGTTTAACACAGACTCTTCTTGTGGATTATTTAGTGATAGACCTTTACGAAAGATTTGGTTTATGTTTGTCTTTGTGCAGCTGCGATCCGGGCTTTTCTTCAACACCCTGAAGGAAGTCGTCTCTTGGAAAAGCTAGCTACTACTACTACACCTTGTAAAGCTCTCTAATGATGTCTCTAAACTAATACACTTTTTTTTCTTTCAAAATTGGGTTTGATTTGTTTGAATTATCTGTTCATTCCGTAGCTTACACGACAAAGGCGAGTTTTGCAAGCTCAGCATTGCCTGATGCAAATGGTTCATCAGGTAAAGCCAGGCAAAATTTGGTACTTTCATTTTGATTTCTTGCACTTTTGACTTCTAAGAATTCCTTCCGTCTCTCTGTTTTGTAGTAACGCAGTTGCAGATTCCTTATGATCCGCAAAACCAACTCCATCAATGGTCTACATCCAACGATCTTGCTTGTAAAGAAAAGACTAAGTCTTTCTCTCTAGTTCTTTTAACCCTTTTACTTTAGCATTTATATGAATCAGTTTCCTTTTCTTTCAGCAGATAACTATCTTGGAGCTACAACCTTTGCACCAGCAACTACTGATCCAATAGGTAATGTCAGAAGATAAATATTTGGTATTACACTCGTGCTCGTAAACTCAATTTCTTATACTATGTCTCTCTGTTTTGCAGTAACGCAGTCGCAAATTCCTAATGATCAGGAAAATATTCTCCATGATTATTATACATTGCCTACAACCAATAATCTTGCTTGTAAAGAAAAGACTCAATCTTCTCTTATTGTTTAAAGTTAACCTTTTTACTTGAGCGTTTGTATGAATCATTTTCATTTTCTTTCCCCGCAGATAACAATCTTGGAGATCCAACCAACGCACTAGCAACCACTGGTCGATCGTGCACATCTTATGATCCTGATTGTAAAGAAAAAAAACCAACCTTTTTCTTTTTATCTCTCATTGTTTTAACCCTTTTACATTAAAGCATTTGTATGAACCAATCTCCTTTTCTTTCCCCGTAGATATATATATTGACGCTCCAACCATTGCACCAGCAACTACTGATCAATGGTGTCAATCTACTGATCCTGCTTGTACAGAGAAGACTCAACTCTACTCTCTGTTTCTCTCATTGTTTTAACCCTTGTACTTGAGCATTTATTGAATCAGTTTCCTTTACTTTCCGTACAGATGACTACCTTGGAGCTCCAACCTATGTACCAGCAGCAATTGATCAGTGGTCTTCATCTAATGATCCTTTCTGTAATGAGAAGACTTGAATCTCTCTCTCTCTCTCTCTCTTTTTTCCTTTGATCTGTCATTGTTTCAACCCTTTCTTCTTAAACATTTGTATGATTGATTCTCTTTTTCTTTCCCCATAGATACTGGAGGTCAAACCGTTGCACAAGAATACCTTTCTACATTTGACTTTGGAGGCGATATTGGAGAACACGCACCGAGTTTCCTGGACAGGGATATGGAATTACCAGAACAACTAGTAATGCAGTCCAATGAACAGCTTTACGACCTAGATGGACAATACCAACAGCAATCGCAGGTGCAACAAAACTTCTCAGTAGAAGCGCAGCAAACAGTGCAATATGGAGGAGGAAGCAACGGGTTCCAATATGGAGGAGGAAGCAACATGATGCAAAATGGAGAAGGCAGCAGCAACATGATGCAATATGGAGGACTCAGCAATGGGATGCAATATGGAGGAGGCAGCAGCAACGGGTTCCAATATGGAGAAAGCGTTGACCAACAGTTATGTTATACAAACGTTGACACCTACCAACCAATGCAAATGTATACAAGCGTTGATCAGCAACAAGCACGAGGAGTAAAACGTCATCATCCTGAATCTGAAGCTTTCAACAATCCAGGCATTGGTAAGTAGCAAAACCCTTTCCGCACAATACAAATCTGGTTTGTATAATTATAGCTATTCTCTTGTCATCTCTGATCTTACTTGTTTCTTGATTTTTCTTCTCTTGTCGTTAAGGTGATGGGACACTAACAACGGCTCAAAACCAAAATGATCTCCAATGGCAAGGACAACGACAAGGTCCCTGAAAGAGATGAGCAGCATCAGAGCGAAGAAACAAAAGAAATTTTGCAAACAGTAGTGGATTCTTTTGTTCCCTCTATTTCTGTTATGGTTTTTTATTTTTTTTTAATACAGAAACTGAAACCCACAAGATTTTTAGGAAATTTATTGATAAACAGTTCCAAAGTTTTTGACCAAACAAACAGTTCCAAAGTTACGAACAGAATCCATTGCAAAGATTGGAGCTTTTGAGAATCAGTATTGAATCTTATCAGAACTGAGAAAATTGATGTAATTTACCAAACACATATAAACACAGCAGGATTCCTAGGTTCTCTCAAAAACGATTTCGTCGCTAGAAAATTGTATGCAAAAGGTGAACGTACAGAGATTCACAAACAAGCAAGAAACGTTAAAAAAATCTCGAAGAACAGCAGAGAGAACGGAAAGCAAATCAGGTTACTCAATACTAAAACCTCAAATCAGTAAAATCGGAAGTGGTCGGAATCTTCTGTGGCTCTGAATCTGATAAGCAAAGCACGAGAATCAGAATCAGAAGCTGAAAATGAATGATGCCCAAGAGGATGCTTGTGATGGGCAACACCCAATTGACAAAATCTTAAACTTTGTTTCCGGTGTCAAGCCAAGCAAAGACTCAAACTTTGCTCCAATTTAAAGCACTGCTCCAAATTGTAATTCCTGGGAACGACACGACTCAGATGAGATTTATATTAAATCTCCATTAAGAAGACCTTTTATTAAGTATAGGCTATTTGTCCCACATCGGTAAAACAAAGCCTTTCTTTGTTGTATATAATAGTGGAGTTTACATAATTTGAACGTCGAGCTCAGTAACGCGGGCTTGTGATCCAAGTGGAGACTACAGGGTGATGGAACGTTCGATCGATCCACTGGGCCGGGTTCGGGCGGGCTTTAATCTGGCCTGCCCATTCCAAGTTGGGAGTTGAGGCATGGGATTTGAGCGAAGGCTTGGATCATATGCCTCTTAGAGTGGGGGAGATTGCGTAAGGCTGGTTTCACAGAGCAGCGTCAACCTCCCGCTCTCGACGGTGGAAGGATAACGGGCCGTTGCCTTTCGAGCCCACTATGACCCAGTAGGCTGATCTAATTGAACCATCACTTTTTGATTTTTAATTTGGTTGGAATTGTTTTTTAGTAATAAATGCAAAAAAAATGGCATTAAACTTATTTCTTTGAATGATTTATCACATATAAATACTAATTGTGCCACCTCATTGACGACTTCTTTCAATTATATGGGAATAATTGGTTCGTTGTGGAAGTGTCATTTATTCTGGTAGTTTTAAAAATATATCACAATTTGCATGATAAACAAGGATTTGGGTCGGTTCAATATAAAACATTCGGGTCGGATCTGGATCTTTTCAAGCTCAGTATTTATTGGTTGAACACTGATGTGTCGCCTAACGCTCTCCTAGCTGGCCAGAAAGAGACGCGGCTGGTGCAAAGTCTTAACACTTGGCAACATCTTATTGGTTAAAAGAGCCCCCCGTGTGGCACGTGTGGAGTTTTATTTCATATTTCTCTTCCTTCACCGTAAGCTTCACCCACTGGATCTTCCCAATGGTTTCTCTGCAGGCATATCAATATTGGTTGCGAGTTTAAGAGAGATAAAAGTGTTTTAGAATGGCGATGCCTTTGGAAATGGCGATGCATCTGACCAAAACGGTGTGGTTTGCTCTCAGCGGCTGGATTTTCACATGTTTAACTATCGCCGACGAAATCGCCGGTTCTCTCCGAAACCGAGAAATTGGCCCTTTCCATGTTGGATGATCGATTAAAAGATTCTACATTCCTTTAGTGTGTTTTCACCATCTCCTATCCTTGATTTAAGAGAACTGTTTCTTTTTTCAATTTTTTTTCCCTGATGAGAATCGTCTCTAAATCACTCCAATCCCTTAAACTGAAGAGCTTGGATTTATATATACATATATAGAGGTCGTTTGGTCGATGTAAAGAGGAATTGATTTTATATAATACGTTTCAATTTGTGTGAGTTTCTGTTGATTTGAGAAAATAATGTTGTGTTTCTGGTATATTGTTACGGGAGTTCTTGATATTGATGCTTCTTTCTTGTTACTTCAAACTTCAAAGTGTGATATCAAGAACTCCCTTTTGGTTACATTGCCTGATATTAAGCTTTGTAGAGAATTATTCAGATGTCTATAGAATTACAAAACAAAATGTAGTTGCAGTTGTAATGAGTAAGGATTTATGTCAGAAATACATTCTAATGTATATCTTAAGCAAATAGAGCAACCAAGATCACATTTTTTTGTATAACTCAAATGTTCTAACCGAAAACTTGAAATATTATTCTAAACAAATTTAGCGCGTTAGGGATCTTTTTCTTTACGGATAAGTTATTAAGCTTTACTTCTTTTTATAGAAAAACAAATTAAGTTTCTTCTTTTGCCCATCTTGCTTTCTCTTTTATTTTAATTGTTATTTTATTTTAAATTTAATAATACTTTTGCTTCATCATTAGAAAAGGCAAAGGCAAAGGCAAAAGTACCAAAGGAATCGTCAATGAGTGTGCCTTGTGCAATTCAGTTTCGTTTTTATTCTCATATAACATAGAATATCAGTGCAGAGCTCAATTTCTCTACAGCTCATTATCTTTTTGGATTGGAGACTAAGGCATGTTAAATTAATTTTTCCATAATCGGTGTTAACGTTTTCAACTTTTAATATTTTTGTTTGCTAAATTTCTGTTAAGTTTAATCCATAATTAGAAGTAACTAGCAGAGTATCACTCCTGTCTAGAACTATTAAGTTAAATAAACAGGTTTATGAGTGAAAATTCTTTTAAGTTTTATATAAAGTTTGTGTAGGTTATACCGTGTTGTCCACATTTCTCCAAAAAATATTTTAGTGGAAGTATTTGGCTAAGTTCAAATTTAGAAGTTATATGCAGTTTTTAAGGATCTTGACATTTTATTTACTTATTGCAACACAGTTTACTTTGTTTTGATTTATGATTAAGCTCTAAATATAGGGTCAAATTAAATAAAGACTTTCCTTAATTATCCAATAAAATCAAATTTTGATATCGTAAAATCAACATTACCATCGTCTTCTTTAGTGTTTCACCATCTTCCACCTCCAACTTACCTAGACAGCTCCTTTCCACCTGTTTTCTTTCTCTCTCTTCTCCTTTATATTCTCCGACAAAGGAACAGCACAAGAAACCCAGAAAGAAAGAAAGAAAGATTGTTCGAAACTTTAAAACAACGACGCCATTTGTTCTTCTTTCCCCTGCTGATTCGAAATTATGGGTTCCTCTGCTTCGAAAACAGTTTCTTCTTCTTCTTCTTCTTCTTCTTCTTCTTCTTCTTCTTCGTCTTTCTCGGCGTCATATTCACCTCCGGAAACAGTTTCTTCTTCCCGATTCCCGTCGTCATCTACGACGGTCCCCAGAGCTTTCTCATTTCCGATGCCGTCGATTCATCATCCACCGGTTAAAAAAGGCGACACGCACCACCTTGTCTCCCTCACATCCACCACTTACGGTTCTCTTCTACTCGTCGATCTCGATGGACAAGCATTGCCCCATATCTCCGTTTCCGGGGAGAATCATAAGACGACGCCTGAACCGGAGGAGTCACGCGACTCGTTGTCTCCTGACTCAGTCATTAACACATGGGAGCTCATGAACGATCTCGACGACGAACTCGGTTTTGAGAATTCCGTTACCGGTAAGCGTAATTCCGCCGTAAAGTTGGAGTCTTTCTCTAAACCCATCGCGAAACGAGACGAGGGTGTGAACGGGTCTCCGTTGAAACTGGACGAATCTTACGAGATCGTGAGAATCGAAGAAGATGAGGAAGACTGGATTCCATTGCCTTCTAAACCCAAGCAACCTCTGTGGAAACATTTGTCTGAAGAGTCTTTTCTCTCTGATTTAGATCCTAATATCATCTCGTCTTACAAGAAAGCATTGTCTTCCAAACAACTTGGCAAAAACTCTAAATCAGTCTCTTGCAGCCAGTCAAATCAATCGACTTTAATCAGTTTACCAGAATCTGTATCCTCGAGTTCACTAAGTGCTCAGACATTGGAAGAGCAAGAGAAACCAAGATTGCCAGAAACAGAAGACAACAAGAACAAGATAGTATTGTACTTCACTAGCCTGAGAGGAATTCGAAAGACTTATGAGGATTGCTGTTGCGTAAGAACGATATTGAGAGGGTTTCAGGTTGCGGTAGAGGAACGCGACATCTCAATGGACTCCAGATACAGAAAAGAGCTTCAGAATGCACTTGGCGAAGAGAAGCCGGTTTGTTTGCCAAATGTGTTTATAAGAGGCACACACATTGGTGGTATGGAGGAGATCAAGAAACTCAACGATGGAGGTGAATTGAGAGAGATGTTGAAAGGGTTTCCTGTTTGTGAATCCGTAGGAGCTTGCGAAAGCTGCGGGGATGCAAGGTTTGTGCTGTGTACTAATTGTGGTGGTAGTACTAAAGTGTTTGAGGAACAAGAAGATGTGTTTAAGAGATGCAATGGATGCAATGAGAATGGATTGGTACGTTGTAACAAGTGTTGTGTCTAGTGATTAGATTTGTTTCATAGATGTTCTTGTGAAAGGGAGGAAGAAAAATTAGAGATATACTGTGTTTTAAAGATGTGTGTTTGATCCGTTGTGTTCCATTGATGTTCTTGTGAAGCGAGGAAGAGAAATTAGAGATATACCTTGTTTTAAAGATATGTTTGATCGAATATGTTTGAACATTGGTCTAAAGCACAGTAGGAGTCCAATGTTCTTCTTAATTATACAATGAAATACAGAGGCTGACGTATTTGAAGAAGTAAAATTCGTTATATTGCCTTTCAACAGATAAGCTTTTCCTTTGGGAAAAGCCTGACCTTACTTTATCTGACGGGCTTTTACAGAATCTTGGCGCAGCTAGAAGACGATGTAGTCCCTTGTGAATCACAAATGGAGAATTGTAAAACAAATTTGGAAGTAATGGCAGAAGATGATGTAGTCTCATTGTTTTAACCCCTTTACTTAAGCAATAGTAAAGTCAGAAGATAAAAATTTGGTACTGAAGTAACGCAGTCGCAAATTCCTATTGATCAGCAAATTCTATTCCATGATTATTATCAGTTTACTAATGACGTAGGTTGTAAAGAAACAACTAGATCTTTATAGTTTTTAATCCTTTTATATCATATTTTTTCCCTTTCTTCAGATCCCGATCTCTTCTTGGCGTGCCTTTGGTTTCACCATCAAACCATGGCAGAGTTCACCAGATAGTAAGTATCACTAGAAGCAGAAGCAAAACCTAAGGTGGCAAAGTTGATAGTCTCATTTCTACCAAAAAAAAGAAACACAAGTTAGTGTCAAATATGAATTTATGAGCTTCTAACTTAAAATTAACTGGCAATAAATGGATTGGCATTTACCCGTTATATATTATTTTACAAATTCTCCAACTATCGATATAGAAGTTTTACAATAATTAGATTTCAATTTTGTAACAAGCAATAAAATTATATATCATAGTGGCTTACTATCGTAAAGGCAAAACAAAAGTTTTTCCACCCTCAACTTTTTCATAAACTACGCCAGCTCTCAGTCCCCATGATTTTCCAGTTTTGTCAAGCAGCTGACTTAACTTGTTCATCTCCGAAGCTATCAAAATCTCGGTCTACACCCAGTCTGGTAATCTCTTAGAATCATACATATTGGACCTTATATCAATTGTACCTGTCAGTTGTTGCATTGTTTTACATTTGTCAACTTTAAAAGCTTCAAATTGTTTTCAGATAGATATGCAAAATTATAAACGTTTATAAGTAGTAGATTAACGATTTTTTTAGCGTGCACCATTTGGTCTTTATAGTGTTTTCAACTACGTTAGATTTAAAATTTTAAATTAAAAATATATTTGAAAAAATTAAACTCATTTGGAATTATTGAAAATTTTATATTATCAAGTCACCATAATAGTATTTTGAATCTTAATTAGAACGTTTTAACATTTAAGAGCTTCAAATTGTTTTCAGATAGATATGCAAATAAAAAAATATATATATTTGGCATTTTGGTCTTATGCTAATCATCTTGAATTTCGGACTATCATGTTTGAGTTTCCCAAAAACCAGTGCCACTAAATAAACAGCTAAATCGCTCACCTGCTTGGCCATTGGCTACCATTAAAGTCTGTTACCATTACTTTAGTATAGATCTGTGACAAGAATGTTGAAATGTAGTACATAAGGCCTAAGACATTGTTGAAGAACTCTTCAAAGATGTTGTTTTGTTTGAAAGACACCTTTTTTATTTGTTGTAATCACTGTATTGTCAAGAAATTTCTCTAATTTGAATTTCAGATAGCGGTATTGTTCTGCCAAAGTGGTATAGTTAAAGTCAATGCGGTGCGTGGCATTGCAGCACACATACTTAGCCGAGAAAGTATAACCGGACTGATTTTGGTCCTGCAAAGTCATATAACAAATCAAGCTTGGAACTCCTTTGAACTCTTCTCGTTCAAGGTCGAGTTATTTCAGGTATATATATATATATATATATATATATATGTATATATATATATATATCTTTATCTTTATCTTGATTACCTTGGTAGAGTATGAGTTGTTTCGACTTAATTCTCAGTAGGTTGATAACATCTTTGTTGCTGCCTTGTTGTATTGTTAGATAACCGATTTGCTGGTTAACATAACCAAACATGTCTTAAGGCCAAAACATCAGGTTTTAAATGATAAAGAGAAGAAATCACTTCTCAAGAAGTTCAGTATTGAGGAGAAACAAGTAAGCAAGTTTTTTGTACTTGGATCATTGCTAGGAACTCTGAGCCAGCTTTCTCTAAGCTAATTTTTTTTTATAATATATATGTATTTATGTTTCCCTTTTGGTTAGCTTCCTCGGTTATCGAAGCAAGACCCGACTGTGCGATACTACGGGCTAGAGGAAGGGCAAGTCGTGAAGGTCACATACAAAGACGACCTCACTGAGTCGAATGTTACGTACCGATGCGTCTGGTAATTAAGATCGTTCTGTTTATTTAGCTTTCTTGTGTGTAGGAATCAGTATATCATGTATTGATGTCAAAACCTGTTAAGTTTTTGTTTCTTTTGTGGTCTTTAAACCAAACAACTTTAATAATTATAAGTTTGTGTTTCATACTTTCATATAGAACATAGATATACAAAATTATGCATGAGCCTTATAAAGAAGGCTTGGTCAACTATGGACGATGGTCGAATCTGGCTGAATCTTGTTTGACCCATGTGTTGACTTTCTCGGCTTCACGGCTAAGTCTTTGCTCCTCCAATCTCGCTGCCTTAAGCTGATGCTCTTGCTCCTTCACGGAAAACGTTCTTGTGTCCGATAGAAATTTGTCGTCGCCGGTTGGCCAGCTCTGGTCACCGGTGTTGCCCGTAGTACTTTCCGTGGTATCTGGATCACGAGAGCAGCACAAGTTTGAGCCCATGTGGATCAAACTATATCTTTGATAGAAAGAATTAATCGGATATGAAGGAAAAATAAATTTTTTATTGAAGATTGAAATTCAAGAACAAATACGAGAGAGGGATTGGTTTAGTGTTGGACCAGAATGTGTTATTTGCTGAATATTAGTGGTTTGAAAGAAAGGAAAAAATGCTTCATTTTCATATAAATGTTTATTGGAGTATGACATCAATAATAAAACAAAACAATTTTTTATTGCTAACTATTATTGTCATTGACTATTCTTTTGAGACTTGAAAATTAGAAGAAGAAAAAGTTACAAATCAATTACTTGCACTATATGGAACGAACTAACGGAGCATCCCTAACATGATTGAACACTTTGAATTGTTATTCTTGGTATGTTTTGTCCGTTCCAATTCATATAACACAACCATTCGAAGCCTACGAGTTAAGACCAATTTTTTTTAATGCTAATTTGATAACATGCAAAATTAACTTAGTTTAATTTTCCTCTATTTTTTTATGCTAATTGAGAACATAGAGGATAAGGTTGCTCAACCACATGCGTAAAATGTTAGAAGAATCTTTAACCTAAAAAAGAAAAAAATTAGAAGAATTTTATGAATTTATCGTACAGTATATGGATAAATTTTCTACAAACATTTTTTTTTGTCGAAATTTCTTTTAATTTCCAGACTAGTCACGTGGGCGGCCAAATAGCACTCCATGTGTCGGCTCCTGGAACGCTACAGCCCATATGTGAATTCCGCAGTAGCCGGGGCTCAAACTCGTGATGGTGAGTACCTCAGCTGAGGGTCCTCTACAAACATGATAAAATGCACTCGAAATTTTTGTAATTTTTTGGTTAGTGGGTGAAGTTGTAAGCGTGTATATTATGATGGTCAGTATCTCTTGATTTTTTCCATCTTCATTTTTCAAATACTTTACTGTTAACACTGCTCCGACACGAATAACCTCTCTTTCCCAAAATTGGAAAATCTAGGGTTTCGGCGAACTTGAACGTGATCGCATTCGCATCACCCAAATCACCCAAAGTTTCGAGCTGTTAACTGGTTTCAATTGCTCTCTTCCTTGTTTGATCCGAAACAGTGTGCGAATTTTTCCCACATTTGGAAGAGAAGAGAGACGATGAGCGACGTCAATGGTGATCCCGCGGCAGTGAGCGAAGCCAAGGGAGGTTCTGACGCCGCACGGATCGCGGAAGTGAAGGCGTGGCTCATATCCCAGTTTGAAGCCGCCGGCAGAGAAGTCCCCAATTTCGACTACACTCATCGAAGCATCGCCCATTTGTATAATCTCGCCACCGCTTCTCAAGCCAAGTCCCAGGCTGCAAGCATTGTCGCCAACGATTTTCGTCAAAAGGCTTCGGAATATCGTGCTCAAGGTATTTGCTTCTACTCCCTAATTCGATTTGCTTGTCTGCTTCGATTATGACTCTTGTTGTAATCATCATGAGTTTCTCATCTGTATTGCTGTTCTGGATCACGCTATATATACTGTTTGAGAAAAAAAATGGGTTTTTTTTTCTTGGGGATTATGTTTCTCTGTTTACTGGCTGTGTGATTTGTAAGATCTCTGGGTGGAAATTTGTTGATGTAGCGGCTAGGATTAGAGAGATATTGGAGAGTGCGGGAATGGCTCAAGAGAGCTTACCTTCGAATGTGGTCTCTTCAGCTCAAGTTCTTGCAAATGTTGCAAATTTGTTGAACATCAGGGACACTGAACTGAGCAGGTGAGTTCACTGCTAGCCCTCTTATTAGGCGTGGTGTTTCTATCTCGAAATGGGGAAACTTATGCAGAAGAAATGTGTCTAGTTTCCTTGTTGCAATGGGAGACATTTCTTTGAGGAAAACTGGAGTGGAGGAGAAAAGGGCGAAAGCACAGAAAGAGTCCAATGTTCTTCTTGATTATACAAGGAAAGCGATACAGAGGCTGACGTATTTGAAGAAGTAAGATTCTCGATATTGAAACATGGATATTGCACTTTTGAAAAAAGATAAGCTTTTCCTTTGGGAAGAGACTGATCTTACTTTATCTGCATGGGCTTTTACAGAATCCTTGCGCAGCTAGAAGACGATGTAGTCCCTTGTGAATCACAAATGGAGAATTGGAAAACAAATTTGGAAGTAATGGCAGCAAAGGAGGAACAGTACATACAGCAGTACAAGAAGTATGAGGTAGACGCCTTCTTCTCCTTTCAGTTTTTACATACTCCTTTGGTAATAGGTAAACTGAGGATCAGATACCTTTCTGCAATTAGATCTGTTGGGGGCTATTTGAGAATCAAATACCTTTATGTAAAAACTGGAACAAACTCTTAGCACGCCGAAACAGGACGGATTAGTTTAGTAATGGTCAAACTATATTCTTGCTAGTAATTAAAGGATATAAGTTACTTTTGAATTTGTTAACTGTTATATCATAACATACATTCTGATAAAGATCCAGATCGTATAAGAACTACTTTGATGATGTTGGCTAGCAAAGTATTATAATCGTACCTTTTCCCTTATGTATTTTCTGGGGAGCAGATGTTGCTCAACCGTGTTGGCTACACTTCTAAGATCAGCCACAGAGAGCTGGTGGAAATGGCAGAACACAGGAAGGAATTGGAGAAGATGACAAAACCTGTCCTTGATACTCTAAGAAGCTACCAGGACTTGCCTCCGGTAATTTTCTTACTTCTTTTTCACTGAGTCTAAGAAAATGATGCATCTCTCTGGTTCTTCCAAATCTTGATTAAACTCTCTCATTGATCTACATTGTCAATCTCCTCTTTGTCATTAGTCGTTGCTAGACACTACTTGACAGTAAATTTCTTGCTCATTTCACTAAACAGGACAAAGCTCTGGCTGCACTAGCAATCGAAGACAAGAAAAGGCAGTTTGCAGCCGCAGAAAAGTATTTAGAAGAAGTATTACAATCTGCCCTTGAGACAAGCGACGAGTGATCGATATACAATCTCCACCTGATTTTGGCGACTAAGTGAGAGCAAGTGGTCTACAATTTATTTTTATTTTTTTCGTTCAATGGTCCATAATGTATTAATATTCACTTTTAGCTCAAATAATAGTTTGTCTATCATATGAACATATTATTCTGATTATTAGTATTAAATACTGCCAGAATTTGTGGCGTAGTTTGAACTTGCTGCCAAGTACTGCTGTTCTGGGAGATTTGGAAACCCTGTATTCCATATAATATGAGTCTCCTTAACCAAAGCCAGAGAGGCATAAACCTCAAAAGTCGAGCGAACAGACTTAAGGTCTTGTAAGACTAGTTCACGTTTTTGACATTCTTCAGTTAAAACAGTCTCTATACAATATTCGCACAAAACAAAATATATATCTATGTATGTATGAATTAATTGTTTTGTTACAAAAACTCTTCAAAGATACTAAAAGATTAAGCAAAACATAAAAACATTTGAGATGTTTCGCAACTTTATATTTTATTATTTTTAAAAAATTTCTGTAAATATGGATTAATCAAACATAGTTGGGGGACCAAAAAAGAAGAAATAATACTATAGAGTTTAGGAATATCTCAAAATTTAGGGGTATTATTTCAGAAGGAAGAATATTTTTCTGGGCTTGGGCCTGAAGTGTCTCTTTCTCGTGCTTACTTAAAGAATTAAGAAACTCGGCGTTTGAACCATAATTGGATCGGCTCAATGGATTCTAAAATTGGAAATTTCTTCGACTCCGTCGGTTCCTTCTTCACCGGCGGTGATAAGATCCCATGGTGCGACCGAGATGTCATCACTGTAAGTTTTCTCTTTCTTTCCCCCTCTTTTTCGCCTTTCTCTTCTGGTGGTTTTGATAAAAAAAACGATCGTGTAAACGAACAAATATCACCATAAATTTTTCTGGGTTTTGTTGGTGATATTGTTATATTAAAATTAGTTTAATTTCTCGATGATTGATTGTAAGTTTCTGAACTGAGCTCCAGGAATCTTATTAAAACTAGTTTAATTTCTCGATGATTGGATCATAAGTCAAATTTCGTAATCAACAATCGTATCCGTCCACATCTTTTCAAGTGAAAACGCAATTGCTATGAAATTTGTTAAAACTTTGCATAACTCGGATTATTAGTCAAAGCATGATCTCTGTGGTATGTCTTAGGTATGTCTTAGCTTAACGCCGTAACGGTTTAGCTCTTATTGCTTAATGTCTTTCTAATGTTTTCCTTACACACCAAGTAACCTCTGATGCTTGCTTTCAGGAGTGTGAGAGAGAAGTTAAGGCAGCCACTGATCATGACCCCGAAGATCGGAAGAAAGAGAGCATAATGCGATTATCATGGGCTCTTGTTCATTCTCGACAAGCGGAAGATATACAGCGTGGAATAGCCATGCTTGAAGGTATTAGTCTTTTCACTGAACTATAAGTCCTTGAAACTCTGCTCTGTGCCTAACTAATGGCCCAACTATTACCGGATTTTCTTCCACAAGGCTTAAAGTTTTTCCCTTTCATGGTTGTGCGAACCAGAATTTGACAAAAAAGCTCTTTGGTTGCAGCGTCTCTAGCAAGCAGTAGCCCTCCTTTGCAGGATCGAGAGAAGCTTTATCTTCTTGCTGTTGGATATTACCGTACTGGAGAATACTCAAACAGCAGACAGCTCGTGGAACGTTGCATCGAGGTTCATACTTTTCTTCACGACCTGATAATATTGGTTCATGGTGTTAAATCCTATTCTACGTCTTACTCTTATTATGATTGGTTTCCACAGATTCAACCTGATTGGAGGCAAGCTTTGGTCTTAAAGAAAACCATTGAAGACAAAATTGCAAAGGGTAATTAAAAGCGATTGTTGAATAATTTATCACCAATCTGAACAATTGATCTCTGTTGTGAAACTTTGTCTCTCCTGATTGCAGATGGTGTTATTGGGATAGGCATCACGGCTACAGCCGTTGGACTCATAGCCGGTGGAATCGCTGCAGCTTTGGCTCGCAAGAAGTGACCAACCACATTTACAGATTCTGTATGCATAGAATAAATAACTAGATGCTTGTTTTTCTTATAAGTTTTTGTTCTTTCAGCCTTGAATTCGGTTTTCAGTTATTCCATCAAATATTTCGTAATTATTACCTTATTTTATCTGCTCTGCTAAAATAATGATTCTCCCACGCACATGTACATCCCAAAGCTGTGATTTGAACCCTTTTTGGTGGTAAGAATTATGATATGGTCTTCTTTGGTGGTGAAAACAAAACAGGACAGAATATGTTGTTCCAGTACATTGCAATCTTTTCTACATATCTTAAAATTATTATGCATATTTTGATCTTCATATAGATAATATTAATGACTACAAAATAATTGTAAACTGTCATAATTGTGTTTATGGTATATTATTGATATCTTCAAATTTGTATTTACTGCATAAGTACAAAATACAATAGAAAAATCTCCCAGAAAGAGGTTAGAAATTACTCTTTGAACCATATTTTAAATTGTTTTAATTATAAATATACTTTTGACATTTATGGTTATTACTTTTTCAATTCTTATATGCAAATTTAGTCCGGCAAAAAGAAACTGATTTTTGGTGAATAAAAAAAGTTGGGGTAAAAATAATATAGCCAAAAAAATGATTTATTTGCGATGAAAGCGAAGTATAGAACGAACACTGACCGAAGACACCAGATCGGATTTGATTGGGCTCTACATTGTAGAGATGACGTTGACACTCCCATAAATATTGGCTTTTCTACTTTTTATTTTTCTCTCTCTTTTTTTTTCTCCTTCAAAATTGTATAAATTTATATATGTGTGTGTGTATTAGTGTATATATCTGTGTGTTGTTATATGATCAAAGGTGTTTCGTCATGTAATGTCCCAATCTCATCGTGTTAATCTTTACACGACAATAGATTTGATGTTTCAATTTTTAAGTTAGAGATGAAAAACTGATTGCTTCCATTCTAAGTTTCCCAATCAATTCACATACCAATTATTAAAGTTCCTAAATCTCTCTTTTATTTATCAAAGGATATTAACAAAATGTTTTTTCGACAAAAATGTTGGATATCTCCTTGTAATCTTCCCTAATTGAACTTTCAATATTCACTTTTTGTTTGTCAAATGGATAAAATAACAGCAAAAAATATGATCAACGAGAGTCGAACTACGAACTAAAACAAATATTGAACTAATTGTTAATCGATGGAACTTAGAAGACCAATGTTTTTTTAGTTGGACTAAATGTTTGATTTATCAGTTGTTTTATCTAGTACATATGTATAAAGCATGATGATGCCTGTGACAGTCCCTGGTTCCCTCTAGAATCTGGAATGCAATTAGATCAACCAAGCTAGAAGTTCCCTGGTTCCCTCTAGTCTGGCATAAAAGAGCAACTCCTAGGCACTCAACTAATGCTTGGCTGTTTACTCTTAACCGCAATCCTACACTAGATCGCATGTCGAGTTGGAATTTGGATGTCGAGACGTCTTGTTTGCGTTGTGGTACCTGTAATGAGACTAGAAACCATCTGTTTTTTTAGTGCAGCTACTCGCAGGAAGTGTGGAAAGCAATCTGCTTGAAACTTGGCGTGAATGGCCCTCCAGCGCAATAGGATGCCGTTCAAACATGGTTGCTAAACTATGTCGGAAATGCAACCCTTTCTATGGCCCTTTCCCAAGGGTGGAGTGCTTGCCTTTACGAAGTATGGCGCGAACGAAATAGAAGGACTCATCACGGACTTACCCTTCCTCATTCTCGGATCACCAGTTTGGTTTTCTTCCACCTCAGGGATAAGTGCTCGGCTTTGTCTCTTTTAGGGTCAAAGCTTGGTCCTTCTCTACTGGCTTTGTGGCAAAACTGATTCTCTCTCTGTGTATTGAGCAATCTTTTTGCTAGTCTTTCTTCTTCTCCTTTTAGTTCCTTTTTAATGCTGTATCCTATTCTATTTATTATATAATGAAGGTCTTAAAAAAAAAAATATATATATATATAAAGCATGATGAAATATTTAAGTTATATAATCTTGACCCTCTTAAAAAAATTAGGGATAATATTTCAAAAAAATAACGATTCCATATGTTGACAAATTTATGATGACTTTTCATGACTTGTCGTATATATAATCAATAGAACAATTGCTTTTTTTTACCACATCTTACCATAGTCGACAATTAGTAACTGACAACATATTTACCTCTAATGTTGTTTAAAACGTATAGTTATCGACCGATCGTATCATGATATATAGTAAATATATTTATATTATTTTTTTAAATAAGTTAAAAAGTAAAAACAAAACAAAATGTTATTGACCAACGATAACATTTGGTTCAACCGGTTGAAGATCCCAAGTTTTTTTTTGTTACAACAGAAGATCCCAAGTTTACTGAAAGAATTACAGTTTAAATCTCCATTATAACTTGTGTAAACTATAAGACAAAAGCTGTAATGATATCATATCATATTCCTACTTTTGAAAATATGATTAGATGAAAACTTGTGGATAGCTTTATCAATAATTGATTTTCTAATGAAACAAATAATTATCCTATATTCATTCTTTATTTTTATGATCAACACGTCCGAAATAGTATAGACGTGAAAATTTGTATTTGTGAAGACACTTATATTCCATGTGGAATTGCATATACCGTCTCATACGATGTGGATAATAATCAGCCACACAACAAATATTTAAATGCTATCGAAACTTTTCAAAGGACAGAAAACAAATTTTTTATATGTGCTGAGTTGTGTATATATACAGAAATTATTATATTTATATACCCGGTAAGACAATGCTGATGCAAATACATACAAAAATTTCAATTAACGGACAGTTCTCGAATCACGAAAAAAACAAACTAATGTGGAATTATTATCGTGATAGGTTTAATTCCTTAACCAGACAGAACATCTTATTGTACTAGTAAAGTAACTCTGTTAATTGTTAAAAGTCCCTACAATACATTCTTAACATGCATACACACACAAAGGCTGGAATTAGAGAGACATTAGGGTAGTAAAATAAGGAAGTAAGATAAGGAATTAATAGATGGCAAAATTAATCAAACGACTAATCAATACAACTCTAGAGAACAAGAAAAAACCTAAGTCTTTTAATTATATAAGACATGTTCTTAAATTCCTCCATGCCCTCATATCTTCGTACCCTTCTTAGATGTCCTCATTTCCATATACAAAAATATATATAGAAGATATAAGAACTAAATTAATAAATATATTTTGAGTCTTAATGGTCTAGATATATATATAGACCGATAAAGAACTAGAAGTGATGTTGATGATGGTGATGATACATAGTAGATGGGTCATGATGATGATGATGATGATGCCGACTCATACCTTCCCTTTGACTGTTATGATCATCTCCTTGATCCCTACTAAGACCCATCTGACCCGTACCCGCTCCAAGATTGAGATACACCAGTCTTGAATCCAAATTGTTATTACTCCCTCCACTACTTCCACTATTGTGCTCCTCATTCATCTGAGGGTAAATTGTGTTGTTGTGGTCATTATTGTTATTATTGCTATTGTTTCCTTCTTCTCGAGAGATCACCATTGCAGCGGATTGAACAAGCTCAAGGCAAAGCCTGAGCTTATTTGGTTCAATATGAGTCAATCCAGGAACTGCCCCCTTGAACAAGAAATCCGAAGTTAACGTTCTAAGGATATCAAGAGGCGTGATTCCACCGACTGTACGTACATTTGGATCGGCGTGATGGTCTAACAGGACAGCCACCATGTCGGGAGAGACCATCTCAGCCGCGATGTGTAACGGTGTCTTCCCTGCTGGACCCGCTGGATAGTTCACATCGGCTGCTCCAAGTTCAAGCAATGCCTTCACAACTTCTCTACTACAGCTTTCAACAGCGTAATGCAATGCTAATGACTCATCAAGATTGAGTCCTTCTCCCATTACCATTAGTTTCACTAGCTCCACGTCTGATGAATCCAAAGCTCGTCTCATCCTTCTAATCTTTTGATCTTCAAGGTCTTGTGCCACGGTGAGATCATGGTGGTGATGATGTGGCATTAGGGAACGTCGAGCTATGGAAGATTTGAGACGAAGCTCTTCGATTTTGGCGACTACATCTATGGTGAGATGTTTGGCTAGAATCTCCGGTGGGAGACCTGATTTGGCGACTAAGTGAGAGCAAGTGGTCCATAACTGGTGCATGTCTTGCTTCCTTGATGCTATTAACACTTTCATCACATCTTCTATTGAGGCTTTCTCCACCATGCTTGCCAATTGTTTCTGACAATAATACAAACATTTTTATTGATTAGTGCTATATCTAAAGAACCGACATATTTTTGTGAGCAAGTGGGTTTAATTTCCCTTTTTAGGTTATGGTTTGGGTTTTTTCTTTTTAAAAAAAAATCTTCATTTTAGTTGGATGTTTTTATGGAGTAGGTTTCATTCGTTATCTATGACTTATTATCGAAATCTCAAAAAAGGAAAATCGAGAGTATAGTGGGATTGGATAAGAAATTAAGACTTAATAAGTGAATAGATCCAACTACATAATATAGCTCTTCAAAGTTTCTACTTTTGGGAATATGCTCTTCCGTGCAACAAAACCAACGTTATCTAGTTTCAGAAAATTTTCCGACGAAGATGGTTCCTTTGCAAGAAAATAAATTACACATGAAATCAAGACAACAACAAAAATTATTTGCCATATACGTATATATGTATATACATAATATTATCGAAAATGGTTTTGAAATTTCAGCAAATTTAAGCTAAACCAATATATTAAAGAAGCCAATCAATATCAACCAAAATCAAGAGGGTTTTGAACATTTAACAAATTTAAGCCAAACTATGAAAGAAAAACAATCAAAATCAAAAGGGTTTTGATATTAAGCAATTCTAAGCAAAACCCATGAAAAGAAAAACAAAAACAAAAGGAAGCAGAACAACAAAGAAGTTGAAAATTTTAATTTTGTTTGCTCTGGATGTGCATGGAGAGGTAAAGCAAGTGAAGAAAGAGAGAAAGAAACCTGAGTGAGCAATGCGAGCTGCTCGACGCCGAAGTAACGAGAGGCGGCTAAAGTATCGAGAGCAAGATCGACGGCGGCTGAGCAATGCGTGTGCCAACAACCTCTCTCG